CAATAATGTCTATTGATCCGTTGTCTGGTTCACCAGAAACGTCTAATGTGCCATCCACCGTGAATCAGCCTGTATAGTGTAGATCAAAAGGCTCACTATCGAATCTTGGGCGACTCCACTAGAAGATGAAATTCCATCCAGTGCCACTTTTTTTCAGAACGTCCACGAAACGAAAACTTTTGGGTGCTAATAGAGTTCAATTTAGTGATTCATCATTTGTAATTTGAATATATCGAGATCCCACTTTTTCGTCTACACAGTCTACCCAAATCTGCATCCCGGTCGGAACACTGATTGTACTGTAGTGACAATGTTGAATTTTATCAGGCGACCCCATAACTGAAACTCGATAGCTTGTTCGACTAATCTGAATGAAGTTGGCAGATTTGGAAAATCTGTCCTGGTTTTTTCATGAACTCACTACAGAAGTATCTAGCCAGACAACACATCGACAGCTATGTAATGGTGTACATATGCTTTATCGGGAGGCGGCACACTATCTAGTCGTATTTTACCTGAGTCTGTTTCTGGGTGAACGTCAACCCGCTAACATCGTGGAGGCATTCCCCACCGTCTCCTTTCGGCGGGGGCGTGAGGGCGACCTTGTCAGAAGTAGAAGTCAATTTGGTACTCTACCCTTAAGGTAGGGGTACTCATGAGATGTAGATATGTAAATAGTTTACTTAAATAAAAAAGATTTTTGCTTTGGTTGAATTGTAATTGGTTTGAGGTCATTATTACTTATTGCGAATTTTTTTGTATCAAGATGGAGTAGTAGAAAGCCAAAAAATTTCTTTCCCAAAAATTATTTACTCCTAAAAATATAACCCCTTCAATTCAAATAAGATTCCTCTTGGCTGGGATTTAATCAAATAGGTGAATGAATGTCATTACTATGTCATCGATGACATAAGTAGATCAAACTTATTTCGTGACAATGAAAATCGTAATTTATGAATGAGTTGTGTGTATTTTCTATAATGTTATCCATATTGGTAATGAAGGCCCTAAGGCAAGTGTCTTATGGCGAAACATCGATGTCTACCAGTGAGGATGACATTGTTCCATGTAAGTGCAATTTCTTACCATTCATTTAAAGTAGAGCTCCTGTGAATGATATCTGATTTTATTCCATAATGAATGTTTGGAATACAAACTGAGTAGAAAAAAGTATTTTCTGTACAATTCAGTGTTCATATAAAAGTACTTGTTTCGAAAAAAAATTGTTCTTTCATGTAATTCAATGTTTACATGAAAGTAGTTGTTTCAGAAGGGGTTTCTTCCAGTTTGTGTCTGAAAGTTGCTTCTTTGCATGATCTACACATCCATGTATAGAGTTACTTATTTTCAAATTGATTACTTCCTTCCTTTCTTTGGAAGATTCCTACTTTCTTTTGTATCAAGATGGAGTAGTAGAAAGCCAAAAACTTTCTTTACCAAAAAATATATTAATTTTCTTTTACAATCTCAGATTTCTTGTCGGTTTCGAAATTGTAGCAACTTTCTGGACTGTTCTCATACTGTTCAGATATCACCATCTTCAACCAATTTACTATTATGAGGTCATTAAAGTATGGAATAATGCATCACAGATAATTTCAGTAAATATATATGTCATAACTGAAATGGGTTGGTTGTCAGTCAGTCGTATTCAAATACATTTATACAAAAATATCAAAACTCAAAATATTCAATAGATATTGGTTGAAACTTGTCAAAATTGTAAAACTTTTGGGAAAGTTATTTTTTGTCCCAAAATTCAGAGTTTTTATTGACTTCTTGGAAATGTTCACCTCTTTCAAAGTGACAATATAGAAAAAATGTAATGGATTATTTCATTAACGTATAGAAATGGCAAATATTCAGTTCACCCCGTAATTACTGCGTAAATTCGGTATAATTTTTTCAAAAAATATGCTGTCATAAGATTGTTTAATATAACCAGAAATGAAAAAAAATAAATATATTTCACAGATGTCATTTCAGAAACTTGTCTTTTCTCCAACAGATTGCAAAGGAGATTTGAAACATGAAATATATCACAAGATGATATACTACTTTGGTGGTATTGAACTGGATTATTTTTCTGGATGCTATTCTGATACTTTTTCAAATTAGAGTAACTTTCAAAATATACGATTAAAGTTCCTATAATAATTTAGTCTTTGTTCGAAATATGAGTGAAAATTTCACATATCACAAGTTGACCTGAAATTATAATTATTTCTATGGAATATGATATCTGTGATGTGCTAGTTAACGGAAAAACTGATTTTAAAAGATTTACATAATTTGCGGACCTAACAAATATTCAAGGTGTCGTTATTCGGTTAGAAAGAACAATTTTGCAATATTTCTAGGAGAATTTAACGCAACTGCTTATTTATCGGTTATTTTCAGAGAATTAATTATATCAACTGCATGATAATCAGTAGCAGGTGTTTAAATTTCAATTTATATCGATGACATCGATATGGCTCCAATTGACCTTTGTATTATGTTATTTTGAAAAACCAATGATTGGATGTATACAGACTTATACGTCTATATTAATAATTTTTTGAATTGGATCATATCTGATTATCACATCTCACTTCAGAAAACATCCAAGGAAATCAATCTGTGACGACGTGAGACGACAGTCGTTTCTAGAAAAATTATTCAGCCAAAATTATTGATTGGATATAACTCAAGATCAAAACTAGATAAAATATATTTTCAGTAAATTAGATGGTTGAAAATGAACAAGATTATCAAAAAAAATTGGAGAATAAATAATGTGTACTTAGAAAATAAATATAGTTTGAAAAACTAAAAAACACGTTTTTAAAGAACATGGAACTAAAAAGTTAAAAAAAAATTAAATAATCTTAAAACAATAACAAACAAAAAATACTAGTATTATAGTGGAAGAAGCTTTTTTAAAAGAATATTTTCAACTTTTTAGTTCGATGTTCTTTAAAAGCGTGTTTTTTAGTTTTTTAAACTAGATTTATTGTTCATTTTTCAGTTTTGTATGCTATGAAAGCGTGTTTTTGAGTCTTTCTGAACTATTTCATTGCATCTAAACTTTGAGATGAATCAGCAGTATAATGACCATTGATATTTTCCGATTCCGGAGAGAAATACTGAAAAACAGCTACCAAGCCTAAGGCAGCAGGCGCGCAAAGGAGGGTTACAAATAAGGCAGCAGACGCGCGTTTTAATGAAAAAAATATTTTTTTCAAATGAAGAAATACATGTGAAGTGATTTCAAATTATATCAAGGAGGTTACGTACAGCGCCATCTGTCCGCAAATGGATCAAGCAATAATGTCTATATATCAAGGAGGTTACGTACAGAGCCATCTGCCCACGAATAGATCGGGCAATTCGATAATTTTGTCAAATACAGATCCCGAGCTTGAGAGTTACAAGCAAGCAAACAAACAAACATACATACATACATACACGTGAAGCTAATGAAAGCGTGTTAAAAAAAGATAAGGTTTGGATGAAAGATTATTATTATTGGTATTCAGGGATCAATGAAGACACTAGTTGTTGCCCGCAGCTTCGCCCGCGTAGAATTTGGTTTGTCAAATCAAGTTCCGTGACAGACCATTTCAAACAAATAGTTACAGTATTTTTTATCAGCCCAAAACTTTAGGTTTCCAACTTCAAATCTACCTGCAAGATTCTAGGTTCAGTAGGTGAGGCTGTACGTTAACATAAGAGCGGGCAAGAGCTAGTTTTATTTTCACTTTTAAAATACAGTAAATAATAAAATATGCCAATTACACTGAGTAATAAATAGCTTCGAGAATCGAATTATGTTACCTATAAAGAAATTCGCAAAACTATCACAACCGTCAACGACGTCTGCCCTCACCCTTCTGCCCGCGTTCGGGTCGCGTTCTCGGCGATGACGCTTTATTGCTCAGACCGCCCCTCTACCCCGCGCATCATCACTCACATTTGTATAGTGTCTTTGCAAAACCATATATCTGGGATAGCAGAAGTAGATTCTCAGAAATGTTATTTCAAACTAGAAAGTTAGTCACGCCTTTATAACTTTCTATAATTCTCAAGGCTCACATTATACTTTCTTTGGACTATTGATCAAATATTGTAGAGCTCATATCTTGAGCATGTCCTGAGCCTGCTGTCAAAAATGAAGTGCAGTAGCCTTGATTTTGAAAAATATTTTCAACTGGTTCGACTATTTGAAGTAGTTTACAATATTCATCTATTTCAGTGTTTGATGCTTCCTCTAAATTTATATATCCTGGTATGGCGACATCTGTTAGAGGGGACTATGGCAATTTTGATGAATGCGTTAAAATTGATCATAAATACAGTAGAGGCAGAATACTTGGAAAATATTGTTATCCAGGACTGGTGATACCTGATTTAACCGATTTGAATAATACTGATTTGAATGTAAGTATTGAGAATTTTCAGCTTCATTCACATGTAATTTTGGAGTTCAATTGGGAGATTTCTTGAAAATATATGTAAAATTTCTGTTTCTGAAATGAATAATTGAAGTTCGAGATGACTTCTGGGATATATTATGAAAAAAAATAATAAAAAACACACTAGTGTTGAATCATTCAATATACACCACATATGACATGGATAGAATATTCATATAAGAGAAAAAATAAAATCAACTATAAAGTTTAATGATTGGTTCTCTATTCCTTTGTACATGTTTTCATTTTCCAGATGAAAATGCAACGGCATGATTCGGACAAATTCACTTGCTTTTCTGTTGCATCTATATAGTGTGTCTCACTTCTCAATGTTTCTCAAATTGAAATTTGTGTTTAATGAATATTAAGCTCCTAAAAATATGAGCAATGAATTGTATTTGGAATGTTGTCTAATAAAATGGCTTTTGGCTGTGGCTGCTCAGCGTTTTGAAGTTCAACTCAGTACATCTCGAACTTCACTGTTCAAGAACTCTTTCATTTGAAGAGCTGTGTTTATGTAAAATAAACCTCCTGAGAAGGTTTTTCCAAATGGATGCATTCTCCAGTGATTCAAATCCAACGTGAATCGCTACTTTCGTACAGGCAACGCTCTTAGAGCTCCTTAAGGTCTCTGCCCACTATACCGTACAAAACCATGACCGAAAACGTAAAGGCACATGCTCAAAAATATTCTTTCATACAATTTATATGAACCAACGCCCATTAGACCGTTCCGTCACCGGTCCGGCACGTAGCGTAGCATGCACGTGCCAGCACAATATCTGAGTCGATAATATTTTGCCGGTGCTGATACGCAACGTGCATGGCACGTAACGTTGCTTAACCGTAGGCCTCCGGCAGCGAAACGGTTTATAAACGGGTTGTAAATCATTTTCAATATCATTTAGCAATACATTCCATTGAAATGTAGACTTTCGAAAATATTGAGAAAATTTTTTCTCATCAACAACTGTATGTCTAAATAATGCCCAATATTCTCCTTCACTTTCTCGTTATCTCGAATATTCGTGAAGCCAATAGCGTCGGGTGTTTTTTTGAGTTTCTGCCTCTTCATAGTCCAAAATAATAGCTCCCAATGCCAATTGTCGAGCAAATAATCTCATAGCCATATTCGTTCTTTGTGGTAAACTCTTCTACACTACGCTACACCACACTACACTGATGAGTAAGCTGGAATAACATACAATACTTCACATTACCTACAGTTGTCAAAGGGGTATCTAACGGTCATCATACCCGTGTGATACGGTCATTATACGTGTTGCTTACGGGCTTAGAATACGGTAGATCCATTACAGTGGGCAAGGTAGATCGTGTCGTGTTATTTTTCGTGTCTAATATGATCCTAGCACGGCCATGGTTGGTACGGTATAGTGGGCAGAGACCTCTAAGGATTTTTTTGTAGTGCTTGGGTTTTTCCGAAAAAAAATAGTACATTCGGTTTTACAATTATCAACAAATAAAGAGAAGTAAAACAGTATGTCGTTAATACTAATACTACAACTTTATTCAGTTAATAATTGTTATGAAAGTACTCAGGATCATTCGAATAAAACAAATGCAAAGGAAGAAAGTATAAGGAAGATGGAGAAATTGATGGAACTTGAAAAACATTATAAATGAAATGAAAGTTCTAGTAATATTCAAAATTTTCCCACTTGACACTTCAGGTCAAATCTTGATTTTATGTTTTTTCATTCGTTTTTGAGTAATTTCAGTTTTTATTATCAAATAAGTAGGATCCGTCTATTTATATTTTCACAAGATATGTAATCACTATTGTCTTTTTCACCGAAAATCACTGAAAAGGTTACCTTATTGTGTAAATTCTGTCCGACTTTGATATTCAGTCCTATTCAAATCCAGAGAGTTTTCCACTCATACCAAAGACTTTTCCTCAAAAAGATTGAGAAAGTTTTCTCTGAAGCAGAAAATTCAAATTTCTTTTTCCACTATCTGCACCACTCGAACTGTACATGTTGATGAGAGTCACTATTTTTGAAAGGGTAATGAAATATCCGAGTTTCATGAGTGATCTCGGGTAGGGAATTAATCTCACGTTAACCTTCTCAAGCATAAACTTATCTGTGAGACATGATAAAATAGAGAACGAATTTCATGGAAGCTTTGCAGGAGGTCATATAGACCACTTTTCGGAAAAAAACCTATTTTCCTTTCTCGCTTACTTTGTGAAGCATTTGGTTAGTGAAGATTCTAGTCGTGATTATTGTTCGAATTTATGAAAGTCTGATAAATTCACCACCCTGAGTTTCCACTTTTCCAAGATTTTTACACGCATCACTTTGAACTGACTGCGATAGGCCTTATTCATTTTTCACTTCAGTACTATGAAAATCGTGATGTATAAAATGAGCTAAATTCCTGAAAAATCGATGGAGGTTGAAAAAATTCGGTGAAATAGATGTTTTTTTCATCACTGACTGAGCTAAAATCTTCAGTATACTTCAACAAATTTCATGAGACGGTTATTTTTTATTTATCAATTCTTTCTGAATGCATTATTTAGACAAATTAATCGTTTTCAACATTTTACTTTGAAGAATTATGTTTCAGAAATTCTTCAAGTTTGCAATATGTATGCCTGACGCATGTTCAGCAGCAGACTACAACACAATATTTCAAAATATATTCCAAAATGAATTTCCCCCTTTATTTCGTGATGACTTCTGCGTGACAAAAGAAAGTGGTGAACAATTCAAGGCAATAGATATAGCTACGATGTAAGTATATATGCATATATTTCTGAATATTTTTCTCAAATATTACAAACAGAACAATAGCCTAAAAATTTTGTTTTTATATTTCGTCAGCTTCTGTGGCAGACACCCTCAGAGGTGTATGCGGTGACTTACAAGAAGGAAAGTAGTGTTTCGAAGTCTTACCAAATACTGACAGGACTGGGGAGCTCATACTGGTAGGGAATGTGATATATTTATAGTGTCCGCACTTGTGCTAGGTTGATCTGATTGATCCACCTTGTTGATAGATGTGTTGCTGGTGCGTATCGACATTGCACTAGTTGTATTCAAGTTCATCCAGAAAGGTGAGCTAACTTGCAGTGAAAACGTGACCTGAAAGACAGGACGAATCTCATTACGTACAGTTGTCAATGTTGAAGGTTGCCTTTTTAACATACCGCAATGGGAAGCCTTGTTTATTTTCGGTATCCGAAGATCGAGTCTTATGTCGATCCCATAGCCATAGATCATCTTTGTAAGGGGAGATATTTTCGCCTCCACTTTGTGGAGTGTTTTCTTCATGAAATTTCAGTGGTTAAGCCCACTGATGAAACCTGCGCTATCTGCTGTTGTTACACAGGTTGATTCCTCAACAAGAACTCAAACTATAAATGATGAAAATACTTGTTGACCATACCCCCGGAATTTGTGAGCCACACCTCTTCAAAAAAAAGTTGCCACGGTTAGCAATGGTTCGCACAGTATTCTTACCTCGAATAAATAAAGTCACGAATTGAAAAACTGTTTATACGCCAACAGCATTGAGACAATTCATGAGCCAATCACGCAACACTATGAGATTGAATACTACTGGAAGATCAAAAGTTTGATCTTCCTCTTGAAGATGATCACTTGGTGATCGAAACACGTGTCGAGGTGTGAAAATAACGGTTTGGTATTAGGAAAAAACTCCAATAATATTCATTACTACACCAAAGGTTCCAAAGAAGAGTTTCTGTCTTCCGCAGGCGTTTCCTGGATGCCATGTTTCTATTGTTCCTGTATTTCAGTTTACATTAGAGTTACCAAATGTAGTTTCAAAACTAGGATACAAGAACATAAACCTTGCTGCCGCCTCAAGAAAATGAAAAGGCCACAATTGCAAAACATGTTCCACCAGAAACAGACCACATGATGAAATAAAATGAAACTGCTGTCCTGTCTGATAATTTTTTTCACCATGGACATTTCATTGCAAAGCCATTGAAACCTATAAACATCCCATTGATTTCATCAGAAACAACTTCAATTGGTATCTCATCAGCAGCTCATCTACCAACAACGTGAACCAATCAAGACAACGTAGCACAAGTTCCAATCGATAGTAGCATCCCCATTGACACTCCATTCCCTACACCCATCACTAGTAAGAATACGAGGAAACACGGAGCTCCCCAGTTAGTCATTTCCAAAACTTCGATATACTACTTCCATCCTCGCAGTCAACGCCTGAAGATATCCGTCACAGTAGTAGACGCAATGTTTTTGGCACTTTCCAACCCCGACCTATCAGCTCGGATTTTGTTATCTGTCATTTGCATTCCTATTCTAGAACCAGACTGCTGTGAAAGTAAATTATTCATTCAGTATTGGACAGAGATGTTTTGATGTACCATAGATCTAGTTTGTGATATTAGTCCAGCCCATGAATGCAACGTTTCAACTCTCGTCTTTTCTAAGGATATTTCTGAGAATGAGGTGACATGGCTCCTTTTGCATTATCTATGGGATCTACGACAGGCTCCACGGCGATTTGTAGAGAGAGCTGCATTGAAAGACAGACAAAAATTTTTTTCTGTAGACAATTTCGACTTCGTAACAGACCACAAAGCGGTCTTCATTTTTCTTCGATATTTATAGATTGGGTCCCATAAATGCTGCCTCCATAAGGAAAGATGTCAGAGTCCTATTTACTCAGATTTGTAGTTCAGTCTACTACCACTGAAGAGTTGGTTCGTAACGGATCAAAGCTGCATTGTCTGCGCTGTCAGAACATGGAAGCCTCATCTTTTGATTGTGGTTTCAACCAGTTTGCAGTCGAAGTTGCAATGAAATACAGTGGACGAGTCTTTTTCTGCAGTCGATGTCAAAGTTTATGTTCGAGAAATCTCATATATGCCGCTCAAGTTAGAGAAGATGTCTTCTCTTACTCAGAATTAGCCTTCGAGAAAAATTGAGTCCACTAATGCATTAACCTAGTACTGCTGGTGATTCATTAACAGATCGAAATACCGTTATCTGTTTCCTTCATCTTAAGGCTCTGATTTCATATATTTGCCCTAAAGTGAAAGTGAACAGAAAGCCAGGGAAGAATATAATTCGATGGTGGATGTCAAAGATTGGTTTCGCTTCGGACTGAAGAACCTCTTCCATCTTCGATATTCGTCCAGGGGCAATTCAATCTATCAATGCATTCGTGATGCTGTAACAGTGCTGGGTGTGGCCAGCAGAAATAATAATTCCAGAGAATTATTGACCCCAATAATTCTCTGGAATCTATGAAGAATTATAAAATAAAGCTTTTACAGACTAACCCTTACGCATGAAATTTTGACAGCGCGTGCTCTGCATTTCTGCTTTATGAATTCCTCTCGCCTGCGATTGCTCTGGCGTTTCTATCGCTCTTCTAGCTGCCTGCAGCTCAGCTTGTCTTTCTGAACGAACTCGTGCCTGAAGCGGTGTTTCAGCTGCTCGCATAGCATTTATCGCTATGCTTGCTGTTGTCTTCTCAGCTCTGCGTGAACCGAAGACTCTTGATTTCGTGCAACAATTTTTGGATAGATCACATTTTCGATTCCGAGGCATTTTTAGAGAAGAACAAAATAAGACTTGAAATCAGTGAGTAGGAAATAATTAAGTGGCATCTAACCACAAAACTGACACCTAACCTTAAAATAAAAATGACAGAAGAGAATAACAATAAATATAGAAAAATTCCAAACAGCTGAAACTAAACTCAATTGGATTGGATTGGATTGGATATTGTCATGCCTGTGAATAATACAGTGTGACGGTATTACGGTACTAAGGGTTTGAACTTCATTACTGGAATGCTACATGATAGATAGATTCAATCAAATTAAGTACTGCTTCCTCAAGCTGTGGTGTTCGTACTTCTCGATGGCGACCACAATCTTGCGTTCTTTTGTCGAATGAACCATATTCTCGTAATCGTTGATGAAGTCGAGCAAATATTCTATGTGAAGGATGCTGCCGTTGAGGATACATTTCAGCATATCTTCTAGAAGCTTCTAACCCATTCCCCTGCGACAGACCGTAAACGTAATGCATATCAGCCATTTCCTCATTTGTGTATGCCATTTTAATAACATGTGAATTATTAAAGTACCAAATTGAGAACAGAACAACAACACACAATTAGTATCAATTCAATTTCGAAAATTCACAAACTGACAGCGTCATACCAATTTAATTGTCATTATCGCTAATAGCGACCTACTAGATAGATTAGTTTCGTATTTTCGCATTTATGACGATGTATCTCTGTAGTTGTTCGTAAAATAATGTTTTATTTAGAATAAAACAGGCTACCGGAAATGAATTTTTAAATGGTAAACAAATAATAAGACAAAAAGTTACATTAGAAATAAATTTCTGACTAAGTGTCTTTTTGGTAGTACAAAACGTCAGGTCAATTTCAATATTGTAACTTCTTTAGTGCTTGTGAAAAAAATTGTTATACAAATTTTATGTCCCCTCTTTAAGGGGCTGTATCTCAACAAGGAATGCTCCAATGAAATTTCTTTATATGAAAGATCCTATCTTTTTTCGATGGGAAATCACCTCCTTGAATGTTTTACTCTTATTTAGTTACACCCTGTATAGTTAAGATCACAAAATGTTATTTCTGTATACTCTAGTTTTTCAATACTTGTTGTTATTTTGTTGCTAAGATCTAGTAAGGCCATTTTAGTGTTTCTACCTTTGCGGAATCCATACTGGCAGTCTGTGAATATGTTATAATTCTCAAAATGATGTACAATTTTAAAAGCTATACATTTTTCAAATATTTTATATATTATTAGTAGCAGAGATATTGGTATTGGTCTGTAGTTTGTAGAATCATTTGGATTTCCACTTCTTTCAAGACGGAGTGGGAAAATGCACTTTTTTGTACACTGGTTCAGCAGTTTAGTTAGAGGGATTAGGATTAAATTCAATATATTCAATATCCATTTGATCACGTTAACGTAGCTTGATTTTGAGACTATTTTGATGAACAATTTTTTTTATCCTACATATTTTTTTCAAGTATCCTATGTTACTTCTAATACCTCCAAGAAGATGTGTGAAAAATTTCATGATGATCGGTTGAGTAGTTTTCGCATGAAATCGTAACAAACAAACTTACATTCGCATTTCTAATATTAGTAGGTATGAGATAAGGGGAGAACAATAGATGGAAAGTGAATTATTTTGTTGTATTCCTTCATGATTTTGGAATGCAGATTGATCAAAATTTCCTAGGAACAAATAGATTTGATCTATGGCATAGACGAAATCGAATAAAAATTATTAATTTTCCAAAACACTAGAACTTCACGTCGAACATAAGGTGAATTAACTGACTATTGAGATACAATCTTCGTGAAATTGTTTCTGGTATTGGTTCCTGAATCGAATAGCACAGTTAATGTATTTATAATTCATTAACTTGAAAATACAACTGAGAACAATAATGTCAATGAAAATGTTCAAAAATATTCCCAGAATGCCTTCCGATTTGCTTGATATCGCTGTCGTTTCTGACATCAAACTGATTTATCGGTTGATTTGGCATAATGCTTAAAGAGTAATGAAATTACAAAAATTTTGATTCATGTCTATTCATCTTTTCTCGAAGAGTTCTTAGGGCTTACGTATTTTCTACAGAAATGTTTTGAATCAACTTAATAGGTGTGTAAACATGACTTGAGACTGTAATGGCTGCATTAAACAACGATATTTATTCCGTTGTATCATTTTTATATCAAAAATCTCATTGAGTCTCTTAAAATTTGAGAATTTTCTGCTTATAAAATCTTCATGTGATACCTGACCTGATATTTTCAGTTATCCCTAATATACCTGTATACTAATAGGAAAATCCGATTTGCTGAAATGTTTATCTCACATACACTGTTATTACATTCTTTTGATGAATTTTATCTTACGCACTATCCATAATAATAATAATATGGTTTTGTTTTCAGGATAATCATATGTTTGACTGCGTGTATGGTCATTTGTTCAACTACTTATGACGTGTATCTTCATAAAACTGAAACAAGTAAGTTTGACACACTTCCGTTCATAGTAGTGAAGAGGATTGATAATGAGATGATTCTCACTTTTTGTCTCTTTGCTTTTCCAACTTTTTCTATAATATATAATGGTGGCATAAGTTCATCGCAATGTGCATTGAAATTCAGGTTTTTGTCAATCTCAACACCCAAAAACTTTTCGACAATGAAAGCGGATGATCATCCACATCAATATATAGTGGGTCAAAAATTCTTTGATGATTACAACATTGTATGATTACTGTTTTATCTGAATTAGAAACAAGCGAGTAATGCGAAACTACCAGTTCAAAGATGTCATTGTTTTCTTGCATTTCCATTGTGTACTCATTTGGTCGGACCATATTATAATCGTGCCAATGTTATCAGTAAATATCACGCACTTTCCATCGAAAACAGATTCATCAACTTTATCTATATATATTCGAAATAACACAGGTCGCAAGACCGAAGATTGTGGTACTCCGAGTGATAGAGGTATGTGTTGAGAGTTGATCGTTCTTTTGATACCATAAATTACATTGGTAATGGTAACATATTGGCTTCTGTCAGAAAAGAATGAATCGATCCACTTATTTAAAATTTCTCCACGACCTATCTCATGTAACTTTATTGAGAATACCTGAGAGTTGACGCAGTCAAATGCCCTGCTGGAATCGCAATAATCTCAACAGGGCACTCGCCAGCGTCTATGCTATCCGCTTAACTGTGGAGTATGAATTTAATCGCGCTATTAGTGGATTTTCCACTTCAAAACCCATAATGCGTATCCGAAGAGATGTCATTTCTGTCAAAATATCTTGTTTTGTTTGTATGATCAAACCGAATTTTATAGCGATAACCTTGTTAATAAAACACTACTTCAACATTTAACTATTTACTTCGATAGCAGGTATTGGAATATTTTTACAGTGCGTGAATATGAAAGAGAACAAACAGATGTTTAACTATTGCCGTTTATAACAGAACTACACTTACTAATATACATTGAACCGATCAACGCTCTCTCGAGAGGGATGAACCGTGAAAGGTTCAAGTCTTCTGGAATGCAAACACTTGCCTGTACAGGTTGGTACGAGACATAAGAAAAGAAAAGAGTGAAGAAAATATGAATTGAATGAACTTTCACCGTACATACCGCCCCCTTTGAAAGAACCTACTTCCAACTGGAATGCAAAATAAAAACAATAAAACATTAGCTACATATAGTAAAAATGGATAATTTCAAAAAATTGTCAGTCAGTTGAAACAGTTTCTATTGGCAAAACACATATTTTAGAAGATGCTCTTCTAAACACCCCCTTGGGCGTTCGAACAGACACTACGCGGCCCAATGACCATTTGAGGGGGGTAGGTTGTCTTCTTTGACGAGCACCATTGTCCCTGGCTGCAGTAGCATGCTTGCGGAAGAAGAATGTCGTTTTCCTCTCTGTTGGAGCTGAGACAAGTATTCTTTGGACCACTTAGCCCAGAAGTGCTGTACCATTTGCGTTAACTGATGATACATTTTGAGTTTGCTTGTCTTGTGCCGAGACAAATCTTCTTGAGGTAAGGCGGCCATTGACGAACCAATCAGAAAGTGACCCGGTGTGAGTACATCAAAATTATCGGGGTCTTCTGAAAGAGAAATGAGGGGTCGGGAATTTAAACATGATTCTACCTGTGTTATGACTGTATTCAATTCATCATAAGTGTTGTTTCCTATAACCCTTTTAAGATGATGGCAGACTTAACTGCTGACTCCCATAAACCTCCAAAGTGAGGAGAGTGAGCTGCTATAAAATGCCACTTTATAGCCGTATGTAAGAAATGCTCTGAAAATTTAGACTGATTTGAAGGGTTTTGAAGAAAGGTGTACAGTCCTTTCAATTCATTACTAGCACCCGTAAATATTGTACCATTATCTGAGAAAATGTTTTTACACACTCCGCGACGAGCGGTAAATCTTTTGAAACAATTCATAAAAGCTTCGGTGGTTAAATCACTTACCAGCTCTAAATGCACTGCCTTCGTGGCAAAGCACACGAACACGCATAAGAAACCCTTTGTCCCCTTAACCGTCTGACCTTGATGCAGAAAGGACCCGCATAATCAACTCCGCAATTGGTGAAAGGGCGACTCGGAATTATACGCTCCTTAGGTAAATCTCCCATGATGTGTTTGAAACCAAAAGGTCTAACCTTGAAACAAGTTACACACTCATGCAAAATATTTCTAATAGTACTACGCCCTGATACTGGCCAATAATTTAACCTGATTATAGCTAACAGGGCCTGTGGTCCTGCATGCAGATTTTTATAATGCTCGTGCAAGGCGAGAAGCTTCGTTAAAATATGATTGCGTGGCAATAAAATAGGATGTTTTTGGTCAAAGGGAATGCTTGCCTTTCTTAACCTACCACCTTCCCTAATGAGTCCCTTATTATCTAAAAATGGATTCAAGCCTATAATTTTACTGGAATTAGAAATTGCTTTGGACTTACGCAATGGATAAATACCACTAATGAAATGTTGATTTTGAGCTAATCTTATTAATGTTTTTGAAGATCCTCGCATTTTCTCAACTGTTAAATTTCCTGAAGCTCTTGTTTGTGCAACGGTTTCACAATTGTGTATAAACCTCAAACAGTATGCTACCACCTTTTGAAGTCTAATTAGACTTGAAAATCTTTGGAATACATCTGTTTCTAATTTACAGACACTAAAAGTTTGCCGAGGGATCCTAACTTCTGGAATATGTTCTGGTACTATAAACTTAGATTTTGGCCATGATTTGTCATCCTTAACAAGCCATTTGGGATCATTCCACCATAACTCACAAGACTTCAAGGAGTAAGGATCCAAGCCTCTTGATATTATATCCGCAGGATTGTCCTGGGATACTATGTGATGCCACTGATGACCCTTCGTTGAATGTTGTATTTCAGCAATCCTATTTGCGACAAAGGTTTTCCACCGGCATGGCTCATCCCTTAACCATGCTAAAATCGCGCTTGAATCACTCCAAAAATGAACTTTATCAAAAGAAACGTGTAAAGCGTCTAACACTTCACTTGCAAGCTTGGACGTTAATAAGGCCGCACATAACTCAAGCCTTGGAAGATTGATGGTTTTTACTGGAGCTACCCTTGATTTTGCGCGAATTAAACTTACATGATGGATATTATTCTGCTCGGTAGACCGAATATAGATCGCTGCTCCGTACGCAGCTTCTGAGGCGTCCGCGAAACAGTGCAATTGAATTCTCTGTGGGTTCAAGCAAATAGCTCGTCTTCGTATTTTTAATTCTTCCAAGTGCTGGATTTGTTGCTTGAATCGAAGCCAAGACGTATGAATATCGAGAGGGAGAGATTCATCCCAGTCCATCTTCAATTTCCACAATTCCTGCATGAGTAGTTTTGATCTTAGGATTGCCGGACCTACGAGACCCAATGGATCAAACACTTGAGCCGTAATTGACAAGATAGTTCGTTTTGTTACTCTTGTTTGACTTTGGTCAATTTGTATTCTGTAGCTTAAAATATCTTGCTCAGAATTCCATAAAAAACCCAATGTTGTTTTGTCATCTGACAAATAATGCTCAATATTGGAATTATTATCAACTCTTCTTTCAAGAGTCTCCTTGCGATTCGAAACCCACTTTCTTAGAGTGAATCCAGCTGCTTTGAGGATTTGACTTACTTGCTCCATAAGAATTGTCGCTTCCTGAACGGAACCTATACTAATCAATAAATCGTACACATAGAAATCATTAATCATGGCTTGACTTGCCATAGGAAAATGTTCTTTGTTGTCCGATCCTAGTTGCTGCAAACATTTTACTGCCAAAAATGATGCTGGTGCAGTCCCATATGTTACGGTGTTGAGTCGATAAATTTCTATTGGCTGATCAGAAGAATACCTCCACAGGATCCTTTGTAAATCCCTATGTTCGGGTTTTATATTCACTTGACGATACATTTTTTCCACATCCCCTCCTAGGACTACTTCATACCTACAGAAACGGAGTAATATATTGAAGAGATTGTCTTGCAATTTGGATCCAACCATCAAAACATCATTCAATGACAACGCAGTGTCTGTAGCTGCGGATCCATCAAATACCACCCTACACTTGGTTGTTGAAGAATTTTCCTTAAACACTGCGTGATGGGGAAGATAATAGATTGGATGATCCGAACTATCAGTATTGCTTGTCTCCTCCAAAGTTCCAATTTTAGTAATGTATCCTGAAAATTGCCTGAATTGTCAACAATATATACCAATGCTGTTGGCAATAAAACTTCCCTTGGTGTTTTGATAAGCGTGCATTGATAATTCTGTAATGTGTTTTGTGTCTCAGATGACTGGGATCCGTCCAATTGAGATGAATTTGCCTGTGATCCTCACGAAGTATGTAACGAACTTTCCCGAACTCGTTTATCTTGTTCCCCTGATGCAACATCGTACTATGTTTTTTACCACACAGTTTACAACCGCCCATTGAACAGTTCTCTACCTTATAACCATACTTCAAACAATTCCAACAGGCACTTGCCCTTTTGACCTCATCCCTTTCAGCTGATAAAGATAACCTTCCATCCATTCCTTATACGAACCGTGAAATGAAGGAATTTCCATCGTTTTTTTACATTTTTGTCTACCGGTTGACCTCCTTGTACAATGTTTTGAACACCCCCTGTATTGGTGTTATCTCGTACCAAATTTGAATTGATGATTTCCGCTTGAGAAATAATTCTAAAATATGTTTCTTCAAAAATGAACCTTTCTTCCTGCTTTTCATTAGACCCATCACGTTTTTCTATACCATCTTGTAATGATTGAAACTCTACCCAACAATCTTTATATTTCTCTATTCGAGCCGGCAATTGTCCCAACGTGGTGTCCGTAATTGAAGACAAAAAAGTTTCAAACCTCGTTACTCTCCCCTTTACTACACCCCTTTTACGAATTAAATCATTCAATTCGGGTAAATTTTCGTTTTGTGGACACCCGGCGACTTTGAAAAAATTTTTGCGTGTACTTACGTATTCTGATGCGTAGATTACGAATCCGAAAGAAAAAAGCGGCGCTCTCCCTTATTTACAAAGTTACGGCCCTTCAAAGTTCTGAAAAGGGCAACTTTTCAGCCTTCTTTTTCACAAAATATACTATTTAAAAACACAAGCATTATTCACTAAGTCACCTTTACACCTTATTTCTCCTTCTTTGATACTTTTCACTTCAATAATGAACATTTTTCTTATAAAAAACTTAATTTAAAAACGAATGCTTCTCCTGGTGATATTATTCTATTTTTAGGTTAGTTACTAGTGACATTTCAGAAAAAAGCGGTTGGTATTTGCCGCTGCCTACTATTTCAAATTCGTAATACACCAACAAAAACCAATTTACGATCTAAAGAATGAAGGTAAAAAACATTTGAATTACTTTAGGAATATGGACTGCATCAGTCGTACCAACCATGCCATTAACCTTAAAACGTAAAATAAAGAGATATGTAACCAAAAAGCAGCTCCGTACATTTTTTATTGAAAAAATGTTGTTAATTGAAGTAAAAAGTGTCAAAGAAGGAGGAATAAGGTGTAAAGGTGACCTAGTGAATGAATGCTTGTTTTTAAATAGTTTATTTTGTGAAAAAGAAAGCTGAAAAGTTGCCCTTTTTAGAACTTTGAAGGGCCGTAACTTTGTAAATAAGGGAGAGCGCCGCTTTTTTCTTTCGAATTCGTAATCTACGCATCAAAATACGTAAGTAAACGCAAACATTTTTTCAAAATCGCCGGGTGTCCACAAAACGGAAATTTACCCTGGAATGCAATTACTTGCCTGTACAGGGTGGTACTAGATATAAGAAAAGAAAAGAGTGAAGAAAATATGAATTAAATGAACTCTCACCGTACATATCTCAAGAATCTGTTAAAAAAACAATGCTCAAAAAGTTTTGAGAAAATTGATGTCACTGTTAGGGGTCTGTAGTTATGCATTACCTGTCTATTCTCTTTTGTGAATAGGTACAACTTTGCCTGTTTTCATTTTTTAAGGAAATACACCCGAGCAATGCAATAACCTAAATTGATGAAAAAGATAAGAGGTTTTGTTAATATGTACAGCATATTTTCAAGTACGAATGCCGACATGTTATCGTTTCCTGGCGACTTTTTATTATTCAGATTTTTCAACATAAGTTCACTAGAGATCCAATGTTTGCATTTTCGACTAATTTTCGAGGAGTTTAAAAAAAATAATTTATAGCTGTTAGCTACTCACACTGTTATTGTTACACTTTATCGATCTTCTTGTGTTCCCAACTGTGCTATTTTCTTCAGTAAACTTGAAGAACTGTTGATCCATCTACATAATACTTTTTCAAAAATAATCATTTTGGGGAATTTCAATATTGATTTTCTGACATGTAGTTCGAACAGATCTAGCTTGCTTTCTATTTTTCATTCTTTTGGAGTGCAATTCACAATGATTTGACCAGAGTTGTATTTATAACATAATTACTAATATACCCGATAGAGACTATTATGAAACAGGTACTATCAACCCATGTTTATCTGACCACTATGAGTCTAGCAAGTGTTAAAAATCTCCCCACTAGATAAATGACCAAATAAAAAACATGAAGAATAAAGTTCAAGCTATAAAAACGATATTTGACTGTATAAATGATGAGACACACAATCAGGCTTGTCTTGCATTGAATGTTGAATACCAAAATACGATATATCAGCGAAAAGATGTTCATATGATGATTTTATTTTAAATTCGGAAAATAAAGTTAGAAACAGTTGGAGACTCATTAATTTTGAAAAGAATGGATATGGTATTAAACATCGTGTTAATGTAGGTGTGAGAATATCTGAGGATCTGTCACCCTCAAATTCCCGTTATATTCCTCTATCAATAACGGACCGACCAAATATACTAAGATCCTTTCTCGTGGAACCCATTTTGAACAGTGAAGTTGCTGGGGTAATATCTGATCTGAAAAACTCAAACTCGTTTGATGCATACGAACTCAATAGTAGAATTGTCAAAAAAACGGCCTCGTATCTAATTGAACCGCTTGAATTACTCTTTAACGAGTTTATCGAAAAAAGTAAATTTATAAGTGAATTCAAGGTGACCCAAGTTGTCCCAATCTTTAAGAAAGGCAGTGAGGATGCATAAGAAAATTACCGACCAATATCGATCGTCCTCATTTTCGGAAAACTATTTGAAATCATCCTGAAAAATAGGCTCTATGAGTATTCTCATAAGTACAAGCTATGCAACACTAATCAATTCGGATTTAGGAAATCATCCTCCACAATAAGTGCGGTAAAGAAAGTAATCAAAAACATAATAACTTGCTTTGAAAAAGGAGAACACACTATTGCTGCTTTATGTGATCTAAAAAAACAGTTACATGTGGAGTTCCCCAAGGCTCGGTTCTGGGGCCTCTTTTATTCATAATCTATATAAATGATCTCTTTTTCTTCATGTCACCTCATAATTGTTTTGCTTTCGCCGATGATACAACTCTTACGACATCCGGAAAAATCAAGATTAATTTGGTGCGCGATATAAATCAAATTCAAAAGAATGCCGACATATGGTTCAAAAGAAATAATATAATGTTGAACGAAAATAAAACTGAACAATGTTAAACTCTTAGGCATACATCTAGGTGATAATTTGAACTGGTTAGAGCACATTGAACAACATAGCATTAAACAGTCAAAATACACATTTTTTCTTCAGAAATTGAAAGATATAATCTCTCAATAGACGCTGTTATCAGCTTACTACGGTTTTTTCCATTCTCACATCTCATATGGAACAATTCTCCTGGGAAATAGTATTAACGCAAATAGGATACTTATATTACAAAAAAAGCCGTACGGATATTATCTGGGGCTGGTTTCTTAGACTCCTGTAGACCACATTTCCTTTTGATGAAAATAATGACAGCACCTTCTATTTATCTGTATCAATTTTTGATAGATATTCATAAAAATGGATCAAAATTAAACAGAAATTGTGATTTCCAGAATCATGAGCCAGTAGATTCAGACTGAAAAAGTCAAGCAGAAACTCTATCGATGTCAACTGATACAATATTCTACCTCTTCATGTCAAAAAGTTAAATCAATACTTGTTCAAAAAGTATCTGAAATATATATATTGATTTCAAATTGTGTTTATTCTACTGACGAGTATATAGCTGTCTTATTCAGTGAAACACAAATAAACGGTAAAACAGTACGATATTCATTCTTGGGTAATAATGTACGTGTGTATATGTGACCTATCTTATTTGTATATATCTAAAAGATCAGTAAGTTATCTTATCGTATCAATAATATTTGGGTGTTTAGACACAACACCGCTTGACGTAATACCATTTTCTATGTTTCTTTTGATAAATTACTACTTAACTAATTTCTATGATCAAAAATATCACGCTATTATTTATTGAGACTTGCAAAAACTCTGACATATATTTCCGGAATGTAGTTACTCAACTATCAATTTTGTTTCAGAAAGTCGACATCCTCTTATGATAGCCTTTTCTGTCTATTCGAATGGTTTGAAGATATTACAAACTTCAGAAGGAAATAAAGGACAAATTAGTGTTTTTCATGGAATGAAAACCATTAGTATGTTTTGGGTCATAACCGGACATGGATTGGTCGCTTGGAGGTCACTCTTGGTAACAGATATGGAAGAAACTACAGAAGTAAGTATAGAAACCCAGCTTCCGTTTATCGATTCTTTCTTCAGCAGCTACAGAATCACTACCAGATTTGATTCTTCTTTGGAGAAAAGACAGATGGTCAACATACAAAATTGAACATAACAGAATTGCGCAAAGCGTAGCAGATTACTGAGTGATACTGAATGTAATAGCATTCTGAATGACAACAGATTTAACTCATCCTACAGCCAACTACGACCATTATATACTGTCTTCATTCCGAATAGAAAGAACTGAATACATCAGAAGGATAAATTGATGAGAGTACTCTCACAATCTGGTACAGGTATATACAGTCGCAGACACAGGACAGAGTATTCAACCCTGCCTGAAGATCCTGTGTTAGTAGCAAACTACCAAAAGATATTATATTGAAAAGAAACCAGGATTTATACATACGCGAAAACGTGTCACGAAACAATTGTTTAACTACAGCAGAGATGACCTACGTTGTCAAAGAAGCCGTCTTTCGGGTCACTGTTAACTGAATTATTATATGATGAGACTTGGATTATGTAAAGAACCGGTTAGCCGTCTCTGTTTGAAATATGATGAAACAACATACTTACTCTTTGAACTCAGTGTTTGAGCTTCACGCTCGCCGTTTGATCTGAATGATAACTTACCAAATAAACTGATTGGCTTCGTTGGGAAGTTGACTCAATCTCACCGACGTTTCGACAAAGTCTCATTTGTCATCATCTGGATACTACTGTTAAGTGTTCGGAAGTCGGTCGACCTTACTCGATCCGCTCCCTACTATACGGGTAAAATGATACACGCTGTGAACCGTATGTAAGGGTCATAACTGTTGAAGATGTCCACAATTTCAGATATTCCATTTCGAGGAGGAGAGATAATAATGTCATCGACATATTTTTTCATAAAAAAGAGAATAAAGGAAGTAACTGTAAGACCAAATCTAGCAGGTCATCCATGACATATGCTGCTAAAATGTGGCTAATCTTAGCTCCCATTGGAGTACCAAAAGTTTGTTTATACATTTCACTATCAAATGAAAAATATGTATTGTTGAAAAGGAAAGTTATAAATTCCTTTTAAAACATTCTTACAAAAAATATAATAACAACAACACAATTGACGTTGTTGACTACAATTCTCTATACTTGTAAAAAAATATATTAATACTGGCAGTATCATTCATTAAATTCCGTGCTACAAATCGCACCTTGAAAGGCAAGACATCGTTAATCCCCAGGTCAGACAAGTTTAAACTTTCATTTAATCAGGATGACCACTAATAGACTAGTTTCGGAGTACTATCTTCTCGTGTGTACTGGGTGGGTTACTTCAGATGTAGTGAATCGTCTATATTAATATACCAAAACCAAATTTCTTTCAACTATTCATAAGCGCTGCTTGCGAATATATCTCTTTCATTTCAATATTTATGCTCCTCTTTATCAATATCCACGAAGCTAATATAGTCATCTTGAAATAATTTAACCTAATTTTCAGATACAGAAACAATGGTACTTTTTCTATGCTACTGCAGCACCATTAGCGGTTGATACATTTTTTTATATAGGTGGATTTCTATTGGCGTATCAGTACATGAAAATAAAATCCAAACCTTTGAAAGAGCACCTACTGGCTATACCACAAATGATTATTCATCGTTATCTGAGGTAAGTATAGATTTTTTGTAAAATACGTGAAAAATTAGTTATGATTGTTCATTATAATCTTCAGTTTGTCTACGGTAAAGTTTTTTATTTTCCAATCATCACAATTCACAAAATAATCAAATCATATCCACATATAATCTCGAGTTACATTGTACGAAAAATGATTTTCTCAATTAGGCAGTGTTGGTTTGTGAAATGTGTGTAACTGATCTGAGATAACACACAAACTTTATATCGAAATAAAATTCATGTTTTGAATGAAATTTTTCTTGTTTGGTGAGATAAGAGAAATTCAATATGAAAAACATCGTTATTCCTAGATAGTTATTGAATTGCATTTTATGTATATTTGTACAAGGTTCTCCATTTAATTCGAGACCTTCCTCATTGTTTAGTAGTGGTAATTCACTGAATTTGTTTAGGTCAGGAGAGAATAGTAATACAAATAATATACTACAGCTGATCAGATATGATTGATTAAATTTCACCTGACAGTTGATATCACATCTGATTCCGGTAGCAAGCCCTGATGAGGCAGTAGGCAACACCGTCTGGTCATGAATCGAAGATTCTACATCTGAAGAAAAGAAAATAATGTGCTTTCTAATACATTGTCGTCATTTGCAAATGACATTTGATTTTGAACATAATTGTACAGCTTTCAAATATGAATTTGGAGAGTATTGTCATTAACGACAATGATCGTTGGTGATCGTTGAATCTGTTTCAGATTTTCGATTTTGAGTTGAAGTGCCAAAAAAAATCGATGATAAAATAAGTGTATATGCGAAACTTTCAAATTGTTTTTTCCACTGTTTCAAAATTAGCGAGTGAAAAAGCAGAGGCAGGCAGAAAAAAACTCTCAAAAATATTTTTTTTGTAATATTTTTTCCAAATATCTTCCGAATACACAGAGCATTTAGTAATTATAAATCAATTGAAAAAGCTAATGTCTTAGCGAAACATGTTGTGATATATTTTTCAAATGATGTTTGTGGATATCAAATCGTGAGGTGTAGTTTTTGAAATCACTATGGATCTTCATCAAGTAACAGCCGAATCAATCAGAAAAAAACAGTAATTATATGTTATACAATAAAGTCCACACGCTGCGTTTAGATCATTCCATGATGATTTGGGATATTTCAGGATGTTTCTGAATTAGTGTGAAGTTACCCACAAATTTTCATCCACAGTTCATGACGAGGGATAATCGAACAGGGTTCAGAATGATATTTGCGAACAGTGTTGCCAAATTGCATATATTAAGAATTTTACCCCTATTTCGATGTTATCATTTTAAAAACACGATACATTATTGAAACATGTCGAATAAATGAGTCAGCATTCTACATAAACTCATCATATCAGCCAACTGTCCCTATACAAGCATTGATACCGAGAAAATTGTGAAAAAAGAGTATAGTATTATTCAGAAAAAATTCATTTGTACCGAAACAGGTAGCGTATGGGAACTAGAAATATGGTTTCTCGGTAAAAAATTTATGACTTGTAAAAAGTATATAATTTGAAATATCCTGCGTTGAACAATATTGAATGCCCATGAAAGACTCATCCACAAAATATCAAATTTCTCACTTATCAAAAATAGTTTGATAAGTAAAAAATTTGACTATTTTGAGTAATTCAGTTCCGAATATACGGAACTTTTTTTTTGCAACGGAGGAACATATGGTACGCAAATCTGTTTAAGCAAGTCGATAGATATACTTCCGAAGAATACATTCTGAAATTTTCATCGACAAACTATTTCTTATAAGTGAGAAATTTGACTTTTCTGAGTGATTCAGTTCCGAATATATGGAACTATTTTTTTTCGCACCGAAGGAACGTATGGTACGCAAATCTGTTGGGCAGGTCGATAGATATTTTTTCGAAGAATATATTCTGAAATTTTCATCAACAAAATATTTTTGATAAGTGAGAAATTTAACTTTTTTGAGTAATTCAGTCCCGAATATACGGAACTTTTTTTTTTGCACCGAAGGAACGTATGGTAGGCAAATCTGTTTAAAATCTGTTTGGGCACGTCGATAGATATACTTTCGAAGAATATATTCTGAAATTTTCATCAACAAACTTTTTTCGATAAGTAAGAAATTTGACTTTTTTGAGTAATTCAGTTCCGAATATACGGAACTTTTTTTTGCACCGAAGGAACGTATGGTACGCAAATCTGTTTGGGCAGTTCGATAGATATACTTCCGAAGAATATATTCTGAAATTTTCATCGACAAACTTTTTCTTATAAGTGAGAAATTTGACTTTTCTGAATGATTCAGTTCCGAATATATGGAACTATTTTTTTTCGCACCTAAGGAACGTATGGTACGGAAATCTGTTTGGACACGTCGATAGATATATTTTCGATGAATATATTCTGAAATTTTCATCAACAAACTATTTTCGATTAGTGAGAAATTTGACTTTTTTGAGTAATTCAGTTCCGAATATACGAAACTTTTCATCGACAAACTATTTTTGATAAGTGAGATATTGTACTTTTTTGAGTAATTCAGTTCCGGATATACGGAACTATTTTTTTTCGCACCGAAGGAACGTATGGTACGCAAATCTGTTAGAACACGTCGTTAGATATACTTTTGAGGAATATATTCTGAAATGTTCATCGACAAACTATTTTTGATAAGTGAGATATTTGACTTGTTTGAGTAATTCAGTTCCGAATATACGGAACTTTTTTTTGCATCAAAGGAACGTATGGTACGCAAATCTGTTCAAGCAAGTCGATAGATATACTTCTGAAGAATATATTCTGAAATTTTCATCGACCAACCATTTTTGGTAAGTGAGATATTTGACTTTTTTGAGTAATTCAGTTCCGAATATACGGAACAATTTTTTTTCGCACCGAAGGAAGGAATGGTACACAAATCTGTTAGAACATGTCGTTAGATATACTTTTGAGGAATATATTCTGAAATTTTCATTGACAAACTATTTTTGATAAGTGAGATATTTGACTTGTTTGAGTAATTCAGTTCCGAATATACGGAACATTTTTTGCACCGAAGGAACGTATGGTACGGAGATGTGTTTGAACACGTCGATAGATATATTTTCGATGAATATATTCTGAAATTTTCATCAACAAACTATTTTCCATTAGTGAGAAATTTGATATTTTGTGGATGAGTCTTTCGTGGGCATTCGGTATTGTTCAACGCAGGATATTTCAAATGATATACTCTTTACAAGTCATACATTTTTTACCGAGAAACCAATTTTCCAGTTCCCATACGCTACCTGTTTTGGTACAAATTAATTTTTCCTGAATACTCTTATTTCACATTTTTCTCGGTATTAACGCTTGTATAGGGACAGTTGGCTGATATAATGAGTTTATGTAGAATGCTGACTCATTTACTCGACATGTTTCAATAATATATCGTGTTTCTAAAATGATAACATTGAAATACAAGTAAAATTCTTAATATATGCAATCTTGTAACACTGTTGGCAAATCTCATTCTAAACCCTGTTCGATTGTCCCTCGTCATGAAATGTGGATGAAAAGTTGTGGGTAACTTCACACTATTGTTTCCGAACGTTCCAGACGATTCCCGAACATTCCATATTCTATTATGGAATGCTGTTCACTTTGGCTATTTAAGCAAAGGAGTCTTCTAAAATATCATCATGCATAGAGAACGTGATCACCCAGACAAGGCTGGTTGAACAAAGTCGTACTAAGGAACGACCTAATTTAATTTTATAATATGCGGCTGGGTATAGGAAATTTTTCAGGTGTAGTTTTGGGACACAAATTAGCAGTTTATTCAGCCGTATCAGTACTTGACATTTTTAAAATTTCAAACTTTAAAATATCGTATATGAACACACCACAGGGATTAAAACGTTACTGACCACTCCGAGCCTGTAATAATTAATTTCGCCAGCCGATTGCGATTAGATCTGATTGGTCAGCCTAAGGAGATGTTCGAGATTATTTTCATTCCAGAAGGTTTCGAAATGTTCAGAAATGTTGAACACACCCAAATGTTCTGTAGTGGTCTAGAAGTTTCAGGAACCGAAAATTCTCTTCCTTAAATCTTCTGAAGCACGATCTTCAAGTGGAAACGAAAACATTCCTCACTGTTGGTGTGTAGAGACGTACCAAAGCATATGATTTTTGGATTTTTCCACAATGATATTGGATTTTTCGGGATTGTTCTGAATGTTTCAGATCATGCCCATATATTCCACAACAATTCAATTGTTCTCAGAAGCTCTGGAGTATTGTTGAATGCTTTGAAATATTCTCAAATGTTTTAAACTGTAATAGAACTCTCTATAGGGCGAAAGCAACTCCATTACTATATTGTTACTATCAGCGTCTAACATTTTGAGTTACCATATAACTGACAGTTTCTAAAACTTAATTGTCTCAAGTAGTACTTGGAGAAAAAGTAGATTTGATACCTTTTCACTTTCGAATAGTAGTTGTTGAATAAAACGTCTCGGAAAAGAGGTATTCAAATGTTACTAGACCCATAATACTCACAAAACAACCACTGACAACCTGGTATGTTGATATAAAACACACCCATGATTTTAATTTCCATTTTCGAATATTTATCAATTTTTCATAAACATGAAAGATTAGAAGGACCTATCTTTACTAAAACTGCTTCTTGTTGTATTCGTATCACCCGTGCACCACCACGTTTGAGAAGTTATTGAGAGAATACTTGAAAAATTCCACAGAACGTTTTATTGAATCATCCGGAATAAATATTTCACTAAACTTAAGAAAACTTTGATTTCTAAGAACATCACGTGCAGCAACAAAGATTTTGCTGCACGTGATGCTTAGATGATTTGATTTATAAGCAGACTTCAAGTATGCCCACTGACTATATGTGCAGTTTTTTTTATACGAGGAATTGGTCAAATTTCGGATATGTGGTTGGTTATCTCGTTCACAGGCAGATGGGGCGATGACAAATATGTTGTTTGTTGTCCGCTTGAGCGTAGTTCGAGGAATGATACTCTGAAGGAATTCAATTTCTGATTATCGCAAATCATCGACTTTATGTTGATGATGACACTACCTTGCACTGACGAGCGTCAAACAGCCCAAAACCGGTCTGCGAGTGTATTCAAATAATTGAAAATCTATTACGGCAGTTGTATCGCCAACACCATATGCAGGAATAACTTCAGTGAAGAATCCTGCACTGATACCTGTCGGATATAGTCCAACACCCTTCGTGGTATTAGCCAGCAGAGAAGTTGTTTTCTGATAGGTGTCAGTTCATTAACCTTCCGTGTAGGGAGTTGAGAGTGGCCTGAACAAATTGTTTCCTTAGATTATTTGTATTATATGATGCTCACTACGATTCTTATCAATTTTTTGTATGTCTTCATATTTACACTCTGCTCAAGGAACCTCACTAATTTTACAGGAAATGAAATCATTTTCACAGTCAAACGGATCACGGTTTAAATAAATAGATGAAACCGTTCTACAATGAGGTTTTCATTCGATAAAATCATTATCTATGGTAACAAACTGAACTCCTCATGAAAAAAATATTCATTTATTGTTACCCATCATGAAATGAATCCTCAAATCCCTCATTGCTTTCCACTTCAGAGAATGTAAAGATGATAAAAAATAAACCTGTAGTAGAAGAAGCTCACCTTATCAGGGGTAATCAATCCCGACTATGCCCACGTACGATATCCAAACAGAAATCAATCCAATATTGGAGAAAACAAAATCCGTGCCGTGGTCGAATGGAACTTGTAGTACCAAACGTTTCGTGTATTACTGCGGCAAACATCATCAGAGGCATGTGTGCGTTGACTGTGAGAACGGAGTCTCAGCGACTGGGATTGTCATCTCACTCTCAGCGACTGAGACTGTCGTTGGGACTGGAAAAACCCAGTCTTCTGAATTTTCTCTAGAGAGAAAAGGATGTTAACTTTTGAATTTCAACAACATGCATTTCAAAAACAGTGAACTTCAATAAATCCGTGTTTATAATATTCTTTACCATTTAAAATACCTTTTTTGTCACCTGGTTTGAATTTTCGAAAAGTATTTCGCTTCACGAAAGTAGTTCAGGATATCGAAATTGTTTCAAATCCAATTCCATACCATTCAGTGCATTTCTTTAATGTCCTCAACTTTAATTTTTTAAAAGGATTAACTCAAAAAACTGGAATTTGAGATAAAGAAATTGTTGCATGAATACTTCATTTTGAAGTGAAATTGACATGAAATTTTCAAGATGGCAACTGGACGCCATCTGGGAAAAAAATTAAATTGGAACAGGGGTCTTGTGATACATCATTTTGAAGCTCCTGATGAGTACTTCAGAACCCTAGAATATGAAGTCAATATATTCACCTACTACAAAATGACGGAACATTTAATAATTTCCTGAAGACAAACACATTACTATCGATATTTCTAGAAATATTCTATTTTATCTGCCATATGGCAATTCCAACAACTCGATATTGTTTGTTGAGTAATTTTTTGATCATAAAAACGACAATAAAAGTCAGTGAGACAGTGAACATCATTGTTCAGTTAGAATATTCTCATTTAGTTTTCGGTTTTACTAGTAGAAAGGTACCACGTCAACAATCTCTAAAATGGTCAATTCTCGTCCATTGGAAGAAAAATTTGAAGCGATTTTTATTTACGATGCGACGCGCAACTTTCACGAGACCGAAAGGATTCTGCAAAATCATGACGGAAACCATTACAAGGCATCTTAGCACAATATTTGTACATTTATTTCAAACGGCAATATTCACAGACAAAGTTACCGTTATTGGAGTGACACCAACCCTCATGCTTTCCGGAAAATACATATCAAATATCCAGAAAAAATTAACGTTCAGGTATGCATATTCGGAAACCATATTGTAGGACGTCTATTTATTGATCAGAATTCAACAGTTGAAGTGTATTTGAATATGCTGGAAACTACTGCGGACCCTCTCATTACTGAAATCGTCGAAGCGAATCCTAATGAATTCGATATGAATATTGTATTCCAACAAGATGCAGCACCATCACATTACTCCAGTAGAAACTATTTGGATACTACTTTTCCCGGTCGTTGAATTGGCCGTCGAGGTCCTACAGAATGGCCAGCTCGCTCGCTAAATTTGCAAACTTGACACCTTCGGACTTTTTTATGGGGCTATATGAAGCGAAAGGTGTACAAAACTGAACCTGCTTCAATATTGGATATACGCCAGAGAATAATAAAAATTTGTAGAGTTATTGACGTTACTGTGTTCAGATGTCAAAATGTTCAAAGCAACTATTTCGAGCATCTTCTGAGCATCATATTATGTAGTTAAATGTCAATGTATTCAGGCAATTATTTAAAGTTCCGCCATTTTGTAGTAGTTGGAGATATATACATTATATTTTAGTGTTGTGAATCATTTGTCAGGAGCTTCATAAATATGTATTACAAGACGACCCCCCTTTTCTATTAGTTTTTTTTCACAGATGGTGCCCAGTCGCCATCTTGAAAGTTTCATCTGTCAATTCTCGTCAAAAAATCTTGACTAGAAAATCTGCATTGTAAAAACTATAGTAAATTTGAATTGAAATGAAAATGAAATCATTAGCTATGAAAATAGAATCAGTTTGTTTTGGAAATGAAGACTTTAGAAAACAGAAGTGAATATGAAATAGATCTGCTCATTAGAAATACCAAATATGATGTATTGGAGTAACATTTGTCAGAAAGTGGAATCATCATGTACGTTTCTTCAGGTTAACTCCAGCTGTATTGATGCTTTATTTGGTCACTCTTTCATTCTTTCCACGTATGAGAAGTGGCCCTTTATGGAAACCTGCAATGAAGCAAATAACCGATCCTTGTAACTCCAATCCTGCATGGACATTTTTCCTTTATATACAGAATTACTACACATATCCTGATGAAGTCGTAAGTAGATCTAAAATTGTTATTTACTTCAACGTCCAATTTTGAAGTTGAGTTAAATTTCTCAAGACAAGCGGCACCTTTTCATGATTCTCTCAGATTGTCATGAGTTTTGTTGGTAATTTGCACCCTAGCAAGAAATAGAAAGATACATTTTGAGATCAATTTTTTTTTTATTAACTAGAGCAATATAATTTTTTTTCACTTTCAGGCGAAATTTTGAAAATTTCTCCAGAAACTATTTGTAGGTCCTTTAACAGTTAAAACTGAACAAAAAGACTGACATTAACCAATAAACACAAATTTGTATATATGACTTCTTTCGAAATATAAATTGAATTCTAGTATTATTTTGTTGAATGGTTTGAACAAGAAATCCAAAAATGATTTGGTTGAGATTCCGTTGTGAAAAGTTGCCAAATTATGTTTATCAAAATGTGGTAAGAGTTCTACATTTTCTGGACGATTGTGGTGGAAGTGTTGATTACGAAGCAAATCAGATCATATCCATCAGCATTCATTAGGATTTTTTCGACCTGTAAAATCCCTTCAGAATTGTTCATTTAGTTTCCACAATTTGTTGGTGAGGGGCATACCCTCACGTTTTGCGTGTTCCACGATTTTCTACTATCGAAAAAAATGGATCACAGAATTTGCATCAAATCTTGTGTAAAAAATGTAATTGAGTGCTCAAAACCACTCGAAATGTCGACTGTGGTATACGGTGATTTTACTCTAGTAAAATCGAGAAAATATGAATGAAGACGCTTCCTCTGGATGCCCCAGCACATCAACAACCCATGAAAATGTTGAGAAAGTGAAAGAAATTGTTATGGAGAATCGTCAAATTACAGAGAAGTTTCTGAGGATGTCGGCATTTCGGTTGGCTCATACTATGCAATTTTTTCGCATGAGCATCTTTCGGGAATTGTTGAATGACGTCAACGGCGATCCAGATGTGCTCGAACGGGTCATAACTGGTGACGAATCATGAGTGTATGGTTATGACATCGAAACCAAAGTCCAATCGCCCCAATGGAAGGAAGATCCAAGAGAGCCAAGAGCAATAAAAGCGCGACAAGTTCGATCGAAAGTCAAATTTTCGCTCAATGTTTTCTTAGATTATCGTGACGTTTTGCATCAGGAGTTCTTGCCACATGGTCGTATCGTGAATTAGAAGTAATATCTTGAAGTTATGCTCTGTTTATGAGAAGAATACGAAGAAAATGTCCAGATTGTGGAATAACAACTCATGGCTTTTGCATCACGATTTTGCATCACGATTTGAGGCTCATGCCTCAGTCACTAGATTTGTCTCCTGCAACTTTTTCTTGTTTCTGAGATTGGAGAGAGAGACCCATGATATGACGCCGTTCTGCGACGATAGAGGGGGAAAAAACCCTATCGCTGAGTGAGCTCATGGATATTCCAAAAAGGGCATATCAGAACTGCTCCGTAAATTGAAAAAAAAATGCTGATATGAGTGTATTCATATCTGAGGGCAGCGCCCAATCTAGGGGGGGAGAAAACTGGACAATTGCCCGGGGCGGCAAACATGAGGGGCGGCAAAATTGAGAGCGGCGTGGCGTCGGTGTCGAAAATCTGAAAGATGGTTGAACAAAAAAAACCACAACCAACACAAAAGTTGTAAAAAAATCTGTTTTTAAAATCTGTTGTTAGAATATAATTTATTTTTATTGACATCAATGAAATTTCACATCATATTTTATTAGATTATGAAAATAAAATGTGGTCACACTGCGTCCTTCAAGCTGTGCTGAATGCTTTGCACGATGGTGCATACAGCACGATCGGTCATAACGGCAGTGCGCGGGCGCGGACGGACAGCAAGATGCATGGTGCGTACAAGCCTTTAGTTTCGTAGGAATGGCAACACTGGTTGCATGCAACGGTGGATTCCACTAGGTCTGTCTTCTTATCTATAAACATTCAAAGATACTAATACATTTCTTTTCCTTACGCTAGTCAGTTTCAGTTTCTTTGTCAGTTTTTATATGTATGATTTTTATATTAAGTATTTCTGTAAGTCTAAGTAACTCTTTTCCACTTTTTTTTTAATGAATATCTCAAAACGAAACTCATTTTGTTTCATTAATATCGGCAAGGACTGTTTCTCTTTTCATAAGTTAAAATTACACCATCTATGGAATAACGCATAGGTAAAAGGCGGCAAATATTATTTTGCCCGTAACGGCGAAATAGCTCGATCGGGCGCTCTTTGAGGGGGACTACTCGGAAAAGAAAAATGGAAATTGATGACTTAATAAGTATTTATTGGGAAAGATGAAAACCGCGTATGTGTGGATTTTCCAAATGCAGAGTATTTCTACTATCGTTGTTAACTTGCTCACTTTGTTTGTTAAAATTGAAATAAATGATATTCTAAAAGAGTTTTCTTCTCAAAATTTTAATTTTTTTTTGAGAAATTGATAATTNATCGGATTGAGTTGGAAAATACTTCAGTCCATCGTCTCGTGGGCGTAACATTCCCAAAATGTTACACATTTTCAACTCTGAATTCCATAAAAAATATCCAATTAATTGAGAATTACCCAGTCAAAAATAATTTTCCTGGAGTATTTATTAGAAAAATGATTTGAAAAAGAAGTTTGTTTCTCCTCCCAAAATACAGGGGTGAAACTCAAATATCACAAAATTCCATTCGTAGAAAATTTATCTGATAAACTTGGAATGCTACTCAGTACCGAAAACTTAAAGTGGCTTCTTCAAATGAAAATACAGTTGGAAAGCATTTTTTCTCGAAACAAAAAACAAAAACACCACAAGAAATACACAAAGCGTGGAAAAACGCCACTATTTCCTTTCAATAAAGCATACTGACAAACTCATAGTTGTCAATTTTCAGACAATGAATCCTATTATTATCCAAGATACAGCTCATCGACGGTCATCGCACGTAGCTTTCCTAGATGTACTAGTAGAACGATGTGGTACCAGACTAACTCACAAAGTGTATCGAAAACCCACACAAACACACACACATATATATACCTGCACGCACTATCAAACCACCATCCTAGTCAGAAGAGAGGAGTCATCTCCACTCTAACGGAACGGGCTCAGAGAATATGTGAACTGGAACATCTGGAGAGGGAAATGAAATACCTTGAAGTGACTCTGAGATCGAATGGATACAGTGCCTCCGAGATCAAGAAAGCCATGAAACCGAAGAGCACCACGGTTCAAAAAGCGAAAAAGGATCAGATGGTTGCACGTGCATATCTACCGTTTATCCCTAGGGTCACGGATAGAATTGGAAAACTATTGGATAAACAAGACATCGAAACAGTATTCAAACCCATGAGGAAGATACAACAAAGCCTCAGGTCGGCTAAAGACATAAGAGACCCATTATCAGCAGCAGGGGTCTGTCGCATACCGTGTACTTGTGGGAAAGTATATATCGGAACCACCAAACGATCCATGGGAACAAGACTGAAAGAACATAAAAGGAACTGCAGACTAGGACAGCGGACAAGTCAGCTGTGGCAGAACACGCGCTTAGTGAAGGAGATCGCATAATTTTGTTTACGGGAGGCAATAGAGATCCACAAACACGTGAAGAATTTCAACAGAAAGGAAGAAGCGGTGAACCTCAATCGAATATAGAACCCCATTTCAAGGAATTCGAGAATAACGAACAGAATGGGAACAGGCAGCAAGATTGTTAATGTTCCAGGTTCAAGTACAGGTACAGATACAGGTACTAATATAACTGATTACCTGAGAAGGCATAAATTTGCTTCACTAAGCCTGAAAGTTAGTCATCGGACAGCAAGCCATGATAGTTAAACCTCTGAAGAAGCTAGCCACTCGCGCCAGCGAAACGTCAGGAAGAAATTTCAAAAATCCACGTCTTTCAAACTTGAAAAACAATGACACTTGAATCATAACAGACTAAAAAGTGCACTTTCGTGAAATTATTCATTCATGTGAAAAATTAACGAGTATAGGACTTAATGAATTTTTATGTGGTTTCAGTAATTACGATACTCATTCAAGATTGGTTGATTACTTCATTGGTGTAATGATGGGAGTTTTCATGAGGGAGCGGCCAAATACGTCATTTTTATATAACAAAGTGAAGCATAAATCTGTAAGTATTGATTTTTATTCAAAATGAATTTTATTAAATGTGAAGAGAGGTTTTCCCAAACTGAAAGAATGGTCATCATCATAATAACGATTTTTGTACCACCCTGCCAGGCATTATTTTCCAGTATTGAGGCATTTGAAATGCATATTCATGATTCTCCCTATTCAATTATTCAATCGTTATTGTGAAAGTGGGATCAATCCCCATCATGTGATATTGGGTAATTAATTACTGAGTATTTTCTTATATGATNTCCACTGAATAGTTAACACATCCTTGACATTGAAGAATCAATAAAATTAAAAAGATTAGCTAAAAAATAACAAATTTGTCAAGCAAAAAAAATCGTAATTACAATGAAATGAAATACAAGCGATAATTGAAAATTGAACAATTAACGAGAAATTAAAATTAAAAGGTTTCAAAGCAAGTTTTTTCACGAAATTAGGATTGCTAGTATCCACAATCGTCTTCGTGTGATGACTGGACTTATTTCTATAGGTCATCTGAGGGTTTTCACCTGTCCCCTCTTCCCTCTCTCCGCTTCATCGGTTTTAGCGGGAAATGACCGTTTGGTGGGAGTTGGCCGTTTTCCTCTTGATTATAGTGTATCTATGCTAGCTTGGCTAAATGCATTGCCGGACAAAATATATGCGGCTTCTTTGAATATTCTCCTAAACCAGTGTACCTCCTTGTAGATGATTTCAGCTTGAGATCACTTGATGATATGTTGATGAGTCCAAACTGCTATTCCTGATTTGCTGGTTTCTCCTCGCTGCGTGTAATATCTATGCTCCGTAAGGGGAATCTTCAATGGCCTCTTAGTTTCACCGATGTAGGATTCTCCGCACTCATAGGGTATCTGGTGAATGCAATTCTTGGAATCGCGGTTCGCGTTTGGTGGCCTGGTTTTCGTGAGGCTGTTCTCATATCTGAAAATATACTTGGACCCAATTCTTCTTATCCTTTTTGACAATCCTCTGGTGAAGAGAAATGAAAGTATTGGTTGTGATGGCTTCTCTTCCTTGTGAAGCTCTTGCTGTCTGCTAGTCAAAGTATGTTCCACCTAGTTACTTCTCGATACCTTTCTTCGTATTGCAGAGCCAGAAAGCACTCCCGCCAAATGGTCAGCTCCCGCTAAAACCGATGAAGCGGAGAGAGGAAAGAGGGAATAGGTGAAAGCACTCGAATGACCTATAAATAGTCAGCTCTTGAAGTCCTGTCATCACCCGAAGAAGACTGTGGATACTAACAATCGAAACGTCGTGAAGTAACTTGGATTGAAATCTTTCAATTTCAATTTTCATTTCTTATCAATTGTTCAATTATCAAATGTGGCTTGTATTTCATTTCGTTTTAGTATCAGTTTTTTTTTTATTTAATATAATTGTTATTTTTTTCAGCTGATCTTTTAAATTTTGTTGATTCTTTCAGGTATTTCAAATCATTTAATATCATATTAGACGATGGGAGTCCAAAATGTAAACTATATAATTGTACATTAAAATAAATCCCTGCAAATTATTTCAGATTGTAAACTTGACGATCTGGATAATAATTTTGTGTGGAATGTTGACTACCACTATATGTTATCAAGAAGTGGAAACTCACGAGGCATACGAAAATAAAGCGGTATTCTATAGCTTGATGAGACCAGCATGGTGTATCGGATTGAGTTGGATAGTCTATTCTTCGTTTCATGGATATGGAGGTAATAATTATGAAAAACAAATCAGTAGATCATTGAAGTTATTAATTTTCTAAGTTTACTTGAATATCGAAATGATTATTTGTAATTTTGTGTTTTTTATCTTCTGTAGATTTTATAGACAAATGAAAAGTTGACTTTTCTCTCAAATGTATAAAACCTGAAGTAACTGTCTATTTTCTTTTCGAGAAATATCTGGTGAGAAGTTCATAATACGTAAGATTTCCCGAAAATTGTTTCCTTATCTTTTTTGCGTGTATATCTTTTGAGAATCAGAAAAATAAACAAAGCTTGATCAATTCTTTGACGTATGTCGACGAAAATATAGGTGTTCGCACTTGGGACCTTGTTCTCAAGTAAATATTTTATATTTTGGAAACGAATTCAATTTGTGGTTTTGTAATACTCCAACAGATTTTTTATTTATCTTCATATGATCAAAGAGCAGTAAGAAACATTGACTCCCAGCAAAAAAATTATTTCACTCTGTCAGAAACTCTTACGAAAAATCGGCATTGCTTTGTTTTCGCCATATTTAAAATTTCTTTCCTACGTATGAGAATTCAAACTAAGTTATTATTAGCAAAAAAAAAGCGAATTGCATATTACAGGTGGTTCAAGATGAAAAATATTTGTTTGGGTCCAATATATAGCAGAAAACGATGCAGAATATTGAAAAAAATCATTTCTATAGGATGCATTTTATACGAACAATTCACCAGTATAATCATTATTATTGTTGGAAGAAACAAAATCAGAATTATAACAGTAAAATGTATGGAGGCTTCAGTTGATATATTTCTGGAAACTGCAAAAACTCACCAACTGAACTATCGTTACTGACGTGTGATAGTGGCCGATTTTTCAAAGCAAAATTATCAAACAGAAAGTTCTAATATAATTTGAAAGTGAATCAGCAAAGTGTGAGGTGAAACAATAGGTAACAAAAATACTATTTCTCAGAAGAATAGCAACTTTCACATGCAGATAAAAACAGTCATCTTAACCTCGACCAATATCGAAATTGATATTTTTACTTTCAGACACCGTTAAGCAAATCAATGAATATGTTCTGGTATCTGAATGATTATTTCCTGTCGCCAAAAAATCACTGACTTGCCTACTTCCTCACCTGTCAAAATTCATTCTACAATCAGATTTATAATGATGATGTTTTGGAACCTGCATCATTACTTGAAAATTCTGTAATGAAATTAAACGTTCTCACTCAGAAAGTGAGTACTGAAGAATTAATCAGCTAATTTCGCCGAATTCGATACTAACTGCTCATCTTTGCCAATTCAGATCCACTGAAAGTTTTAATTTCATCTGTTTCACAAACAGCCCTCGATCACCACGATGCAAGTTGGCCGCCAAATGAAATGATTTGATAAAAGAACCGAGAATATTCTGGCTCGAGAGTTTCGTTTATGGGATCACTGAATAAGATACCATCTTGTGAAATTGCATCTCCATTCTGGAGATAAATAAACAATCAATAATCAGGTTATACAACTGATCTTCAAACAATATTCAAATTCAAAATGAAAATAACTATCTGTTCATAAACCGACCAACCCTCTTTTATTCATTTGGCTTCAGTGTCTGCACTCAACTCTGGCGTAGGGGAAGGGGTCGAAACTACTTTATATTTTTGAGAGATATCATATTACCACCCAAAAATTTGAGCTTTGGATTGGGGTATATGATGTAATCAACTGTCACTTATAGTCCTAGATGCTTTTTTATCAACAAAAGTTCATCACAATAAAAGTGAGTTCTTAGTAAGTCCTTAAGTGTTTCTTCTCAGTATACAGTATAGTATTTTATTGCGAAAAAAGGGATGTTTCGTGTGGCAAGCTTGGATAGTGACGGTCGACTCGTAGGGTGCGATTTTTCCAAGGCATTCAATTATGTCTATCACGACTTTTTGTTACCTATTTTGTACCTTCATTATTCATCATATATGTGATGGATTTTGTCGATACTTGTTGAAAATTCATAACTTATTCAAGTAACAGTTCATTTTGAGATTTCCACTGAATAGTTAACACATCCGTCATACGTGTTTCGCTATACAATAGGTTCCTCAATCGTTTCCATACTGACTGAATCCTACTTGATTTGTGCTTAATATAATAACAGCTTGAATCATATGACTTTCCACCTAGGTAATAACAAATAACGTTACCTGAATTGAGTTGAAAACTAATTTAAAAAAATTATCATTCTGAGCCATTCTGGTAGGCTTTTCTAAACTATTTAACTATTTTCAGGTATTGTCGACTGGTTCCTTGCGAGGCCGATTTTTCAAATTCTGGGAAAGTTATCATACTGCATGTATCTGGTACATGGATTAGTTATCGTGTATAATATTGGAAACATACGTACAAGACAATATTTCAGCATCTTAAATGGGGTGAGTGCGTAATCAATAGAAAAATTCTTTTGTTTTGGTTCCTGAGATCATTATCAGTCCTCCTTCCATCAAAACATTCGTGTATACGGTGAGGTCACGATGTAACGGATTGATTCACTGTACGTAATGCAGTTGAAAAATTCCGAATTGGGTCGATTTTCATGTAAGAAAATACACTTCCTCAATGAAACTCCTCAACTGCCCCTTCACTACCCTAGGGATGATAGCTCCCCTGTAACAATTTCAAATAGAAAAAAGGGACGTGTGATACCGTGTTCCAGAAGGGTTCTCAATTTTGTGTTCAGCAATAAAGCACTTTCAATATTTTGGACCTGGACACTCTAGAAAAAAGTAACTTCATTTCATACGAACCATCAGCTCTCGAGTCAAATACCTGTCACCCGTCAGTTATCTTGTCAAAATAGTAATATCGGATTTCTTCCTGACATTTGAATGTCTGATGGATTTCAAATTTATGTTAGTTCGCTAGACCTCGTTAATAAATTGTAGTAACTAATCGTTCCTTAAGAAATTTCTAAACCTGAGACCCGAAGAATGGATATATCATAATTGATTGAAATGGGTGATAAAACAAAAACACATTCTGAGGTATGCAAAGTATTTTTTTCTTGGCCATCACATTTCACAGCCTAAGGTGAGTAGAACAAAACAAGAATCCCGTGGATCAAAATTGAATGTCGACAAAAAAGTAGATGTATTGTTAACTTTCGGCAAAACCCACAAAAACTCGAGAGAAGTAGCTGGTGATAATCATATAAGTAAAACTTCTGCATTGAGAATTTTGAAAACACATGAATACCATCCATTTGAAATTCAACTACATCAGGAACTGAATCTGGATGATTGTGATCCCAGATTATTCATTTTTCGCATAAGGCAACTTTTACCCTAGGTGAACGTTTGCAAAATTGTCGACATTGGTGTTCGCAAAATCCGCATTGGATGAGGAAAGGTCACAATCAGTATGCTCTTTGGGCTGGCATACTAAATAACAGAATAATCCAATATATTGCTTTGCTGACGACAGCACACTTGTCTCATAATTCCATTTGGATTTCAGGACATCGGTTGCGGATACACATCTTCACCAGCAGCAGGAGGTTGCATATCCTAATGAGAATTATAGAATAGAGGTGAAAGTAACGGCTTTTCTCCAAAAAGATAAACGTCTTCGAACTGGATATAATAATGACAAGACACAAAAATCCGTTTTCTGCATAGATAAGTTTGTTGGGGCTTAAAATAGATTTTTTCAAAAATCATGTCGCTGGAATTGCAAAGCCTGCTTCTAAAAAGTTCGATCACGGCATCAACTTTTGATGGAACACCACAGCAACTTTTGATGCTCCATAATGCTGTTGGATTGTTGGATTCCGTCCAGAAAATAGCCATCCGCCTGATTGGAGTCGCGAACATCACCTGCAACCTTGACAGTCGAAAAGGTTGCCAATAGTGTGACATCACTTGCCGCTAGGAGGACGCTATCAATTTTTTATTAGAAAGGGTAGTCTCCTGAAATATCGAATGAAATACACTTCAATTGTCTATAACGTCACTTTCACTTTTCAAAGTTACTGATGTTTGAATTTGGGACCAGGAACTTCGTAACTTCGCCACCCAATGTCGAATTTTTTGAAATGAATATTCATTGGAAAGAGAAATGAATGAGCGACACATTTTGCAATAGATAAGTGTTGATGTAAAATCAATAGAACAGGTTCATTTTCTTCCAACTTCGTTATTATGTATCTTATTCTTTGCAAAATCTGTATTTTGGAATGTTTCTGAGAAAATGCTAGCTATGTCTTCAAGTAAGTTTGATCCAACAACTCCCTCACAAGACAAAGAAATATGGAGACGCACCACTTAGTTGGAAAACAATCGGATTTTTAAATTCATCTTGACTTACAAGTGATATAAATTTTGTCTCCGTTAAACCAGATACGATATTGAATTGTTGTATTGTTGATAATGTCACATCATTCATTAATACTTTCATTCTAAAAATCAGATTTCATGCCTTAAAAACAATGAAATATTGCGGTTTCAACAATAGCCGAGAGAAATGTGTTTTCTATGACCAAATACATTTCAGTTACTAGAAGCAATTGTGACTTTCAGCAAAACACTATGGTTTTCTGTTCACCTCCTTCTATAAAGAGTATATTCGTGTTTACTGACAATTACCCAAATATTTGAATCTTCAAAAATCCTGCATTATCAAATAGCATGACTCAATGTTGGTATGAAATGATATGAAAATTGTCAAAATATTCAGTAATATCAGTTTTCTCTTCCAGTTTTATCAATGGTGTTCTCACGTTATAGTTTCTGTTGCCTTGGCATTCGTTTGGACACTAGCCTTCGAGTCACCGCTTATGATCGTGGAGAAGTTCATAATGGGTCATGTTAAAAAAACAGGTATTGATATTATGTCTTTTTCCTTCGATACATAACATATTTGATAGTTATTTTCATGATGTGATATCCTTCAAGTTACCACAGTTTTTGCAACATAGAAGGAAACAATTCACCTTTTATAGCGTGATAGACTATATATCTGTAATGATTGAGATGGTATTTCAAACCAGTTTTGTATAATTCTATACTTTTTCTTGATTACAAAATTCTTTCAGGAACAATTTTGTGACGATTTTGAATTGAATTTTTGCAAACATGTGATATGGAAGGTATTCAATAAGTTCTTGTATTTGAAAAATATTTATGAAATCAAGTGATTGAATTGTGATGATTCATGTATCAGGTCATAATAAACCAACTCAATTGAGTAAGTTCAAAGTATGTGGAATTGGAATTCTGGTGGTATAATGATTTAATTCCATTGGTACTAGGCGGTTAACAATATTGAGAACGTTTTTTGGGGAAGAAACGAAAAAAATATGGGAATCTTCCGAAGAAAGGAAAAAAACCATCAATTTTTTTGAAAGATTCGCACATTTTTTAAGTAAAAATGGAGAAGTAGAAAGCCAAAACTTTTTTTCCAAAAATCAATGTCTCCTGAAAATGAACCCCATTTCCAATTTATCATTTTTTGTGTTTCGCTTCGTTTGTGTTTTGATTTTTTTACAATCTGGAAAATTACTCAATATAGATAAAGAGATTTTTTTCGAGTGCATTGACGGACAAGCTGTTCTCCTGAACAGATTGAAAAACAAAATGTCAGGTTTCAGGTGAGAAATCTAAAAATTATAATCACTCCTTAAAAATGATGATAATTATCACAGCGCATGTTATGAGTTTCGATGTATGTTTATTTCATTCGGTCGAACAGGTCTAATGCCCATAATCGTTGTAAAACTTTGATAGTTGCCTAGTATGTTTGATTGATGACTTGTTTACTTTATGGTAATTCATGATCACTTAAATGAAATGAATAAAAACACTTTGGTCTATAGTTGCCTAGCCTGAAACATTTTCATAAATTGAGGGAAATAATTAAGTATTGTATCCAGAGTGAAGTTTAGTTTGTTGAAATATATCCAATTCCATACTTTCGAAAAATTTTCTAAATATATGTGAAAAATTTCATGAAATTTCGAGATCGTAGATCGAGCGATTTCCTCTATTGATTTTCAAAACTATGTAACTACGCCCATTCAGATCGATTGAGCTCAGTTTACGAGGAGATATGGTGAGAACATTTCTAGACCATAGGTTCAATAGGTCGAGTGACGCATTTCTGTGTAAAATATTTTCTGCTCCCATTGTTACTTGATAGTTCGTACTGAAACCTCTGGCTTGAAATGAATCAACTGAAAACACTTCTCCAACACCAGAACAAAATTACGATGTCTCAACTTCTTTTTCGCTAACCATGTTAGCGTCCTCAGGATATCATTATGACCTAATTTTACTACAATGTTAGTATTTTAACTGAAAAGGTATATTTTCAGGAGAGATCAATTTTTGGGAAAGAAAGCTTTTGGCCTTCAACTTCTTCATCTTTATACAAAAATGTGGGAATCTTCCGAAGAAAGAAAGAAAGCAATCAGTTTTGAAAATTATCTCTTTACAAAAATTTGTAGATCATGCAAAGAAGTAATTTTCAAAAAAAAAACGGGAAAAAAAAACCCTTTCGAAACCGCTTTTTTCATATAAACATCGAATTAGACTAAAGAAAAATACTTTCGAAACAAATACTTCTATATGAACGCTGAGTTATATGAAAAACACTTTTCTCTGTTCCGTTAGTATTTCGAATATTCGTAATGGGGTTGAATCAGATATCATTCGCAGGATTCCAGGATGAAAGAAGTAAAATTCCACCCACTAAAACACTGCCATCCTCACTGCTAGACATCCGATGTTTTGCCGTAAGACACTTGCCTTATCAGCTTTTCAGTAGCAAGTACGGATAACATTATAAGAAAAAATACTCATTCATTCATAATTACGACATTTCGTCCCGGAACGAGTTGAATTAATTCACCCATGTCATCGATGACAGTACGAAAATAACATTCAATCGCTTATTTGATCAAATCCCAGCCATATAAACAGGTAGATCAGCATATACTGGTTCACCTCCGCTCCCCTCCCCTACACCTGTTTAAGGCTAGCAGACATCGAACAGCGTAAGTCCCACGGTTGGAGCCCAACAGAAGCTTGTGAAAGCAACCAGTTGCTACTTTCGGAAGCTCAACGGGATGGTTAATCTTGCGAAAGTCATCAGGGCGATGAATGACATGTGTAAGCTGATGGAGAGGGCCCAAACCCCCCTAGAAAAGTGGAATGAGTTCGCGACGTCTGCGGGCGGTATCCATGAATATATTTTCTGAAGGCAGGTATGCTGAATGTGAACGGGACTGGCAACAAATACTCCCGTGTTGTCAATTTAATTCACACACATAAGGTGGATATAATGTTTCTGTACGAAATGAAGCTTTGGCAGGAGCATAAACTAAAGCTACGAGGCTTCATCACCGTCCGGATAGATCGCCCTGATGCAGTGAGAAACGGTGAGGTAGCTATCATTATCAGAAAAGGTATCGCACATATGCAGATACCTCTGCAGCGTAGTAGTATAGAACACGTGGGTGTTAAACTCGCTGATGGTACCTGTGTATTTGCAGTGTGTAATCGACCGGATGGACACTTTGCTCCCCACGGCTTGGATAACTTGTTGAGCATTGGCAATAATGTAATGATTGTGGGAGACCTTAGCGCGTGAGTGGAACTGCCACAATCAATCTGACGTCAACGGGAGGACTCTGTGGGAGTACTTCCTGAACAAAATCAACAACGAATATCCAGATGAGCCGACCCATTATCCATGGAATGGTTCATCACCCACCACTATCAACCTTTCCTAAATATAAACGTGAGAGACCTGGGCGAAGTGGTCACGATGGATGAACTGAGCTCCGACCACTGTCTGGTGCTCTTTAGTCTTATTAGAGCCGGCCTCAATAAGAGAAAAGTAAGTGTGACTTTAGCAGCACCAACTGGAGGGTGTTCAGATCGGCTATGAACGGTTTGACCATGACAAAGAAGATAGGGGTCAAAGGGCATCGAGATATATCCTCCAACTAGATATTGTTGAACTCATCAGGGAGAAGAACATGCAGCGAAAAATATGTCAGCGCACATGAGACCTCCTCAATAAGGATCACATGCTGAGACTTGTGGTGGAGGTCAATGAACGCATCTCTGAGTTCACCAATGAAAGGTGGCAGGATAAGCTCAAGAGTCCAAGTGTGCATGACCATTATTTGCGGAGGATGGCCAAGAGGTTGTACAACCGCTTCAAGGGCATACTTACTATACAGAGGGATCAAGTACATGCGGTAACGGATCTCCAGAAGGTTCGGTTGTTCGGGGAGTTTTTCGCCGGTGTCCACCGTGTGAAACCTGTTGACTGCATCGGGCACGAGAATACCATCAGGGTCGCTGACATGGTCAAGAACAGACACGTTCCGACCATGACGAAGCAGACCCTACCAGAGTGGATTACTAGCTACGATGAGATTGTAGAGACCATTAAGCATCTGAGGAAAAACAAAACCCCAGGGATTGGTGGAATCGAGGTGGTTTTACTCCGCAATCTCCCTCGTTAGGTTATTATATGATTAATGCAATAATTAAACACCAATATTACCCAAGCTGTCTAAAGCGTACGGAGGTGGTGCCCATCCTTAAGGCCGGTAAAGCTAGACACCTGATTAATATCTATCTCCCGATATCGCTCCTCAGTGCGATAGCGAAGGTCATCGACAAAATACTGCTAAGTAGACTTCTTCGCCTAGAGGGGAGGATGAAAGTTATACCGTAGAAAAAATTCGGGTTCCGACAAGGTCAAAATACGACTTCTCAACTGATCCGAGTTATTCACGGGATGAAGAAATTTTTCCATCAGGGGAAGAAGACAGTTATGGTTCTGTTGGATATTCGGAAAACCTTTGACAAGGTGCGTCGCCAAAATGTGGTCGGCAGTCATGACTTTATTCGTGATTAGGATTCTTGAATCCTACCAAACCAACCGAAATTCTCGTGTGAGAGTGGTCCAATTACCCGATTGAAGCAGGTGTCCCGCAGGGGTTCTGCCTGTCATTGCAACTGTACGCCTATTCTGTATTCTGCAGCCTAAGAGATCTCCTTTACAGAGACTCGGAAGGCTGCAGACTAAGGTGCTCAGATACATTTCATTGCTTGATCTGTTAGATCAGGATGAAGTGGAGACAGTCACTGAACATATCAGGAGGCTGTCTCAAAAATTCTTCAAGTTCTCTCTGCTGAAAAGTCCGCTGAAGAGGAACGTCACGGCTATTTGGAGTTATTATAATCAGCCCCGTAAAAACATATTTTCCAGTACTTCATTTACGTTACGTTGTAAAACTGAAGTTTTGCTCCAAAGTTCAAAATCTATCAATAATATAATGTAAATCTTCAACTTGGAAAAATGTGTAGATCAACGAAGGTACAATTAGGAAACGTGCGAATTATTGTATGTTCAACTATTCAACGCAACGGTTGTTGCGTGAGTCAGGCAGACTACTTGTTTTTATCCATCGTCACCGGCTCAGTCGAAACTAAAAATATTGGTCTCACAGTTTCAAGCGGTCTGAATAATGTAGATCTTTGAAAATCTTTTTTTTTAATTTTGAATAAAAGATGAAGCTGGAACCTCTGGCGTAGAAATAATATCATAACAAGCACTTTTCCAATCACAAGTAATGCAATACTCTTCTCGAATATTGCATTTCTGGTATTCGAAAAAATGCTTGTTTTGAATAAATTTTGAATATTTGCAAAACTTTTTGGGATATTTGAAAAAAAAGAATCTCTTATGACCAAGTCAAATTTTGCGAAATGACATCAATAAACTACACTTCGTTGATATAGTAAAGTTCCTCTTTGAATAATGAAGATATGTTCAATATTTCGAAAATATAATTCGATTAACGGTGGTAGTTTCAGTTACAATTTTTGTGTTTACAATTGTTTATTACTGCTTTCTTTTTAGGCCAAAGTATTACGGTGAAAAATTCATTGGAAGTGACTGATGATTTATGAAATCCATATCAAAATTGATAAATGGCATTTCTTTTAATTTCCACTATTAGAGGTTCACGAAACAGTACACGCGTTCCGCTATATAATATCTTTCTCAGGTAGGATCTGCTCAAGTAAGCCATTGTATAGCGAAACATTGTGGTGAATTTATAGACCTTTCATAGTGAACATCAAAATTAATCTCATTGGTTGATACAATGAAGAATTTTTCGGCTCTGTATCTTGCCTATTTCATTACTGAATCTTTTTGAATTTCAGATAAATCAACCAAAATATAAGGAAGCCACACTGAAGACATATTTATAGAACATCGCAAAATGTCAAAACCAGATAATACTCAGCAGTTTTCAAAAACTTTCAAGGATCATCAAGAAGTCGATTTTCATATGTTGATATTTACAAAAACCCATTTTTGGTGCATTTTCTCTAATTCAGACATTCTCGGAGAATGGAAGACTGAAAACGTTTATAGGTTATGGTTTCGAAAAAAGTTTATCATGGAAAGTATAATAATGAAAATATGGAATAATCATGTTTGTTTGTTAATATTGATTATGATTTGAATAAATGAAGGTATCGTACAAACACAATATCGTTAGGTATGTTACAATCTGAAACCATTCCACCAATCAATATGTCAACTCGATAATGAAGTGATCAAAAAGGTTGAATTTAAATATTTATCATATGATTCTAGAATATGCAAAAAGTATCATTCGATTTTTCCAATATTTCAAAGTTTAATAACCCTCTAATGACCACTCTTCTCAACATATTTTATTGTTTATAAGGTAATGTTTTCCTTGGATTTCCATTGATTCTCAGAATACGCTGAGTTTTTCATTGAATTTTGTAACAGAACATACACAGACCTTTTTACACGCTTTATATCAGATTCACCTGTATGTATGTATGTATGTTTGTTTATTTGTAACTCTCAAGCTCGGGATCTGTATTTGACAAAATTATCGACATTATTGCTTGATCTATTCGCGGGTAGATGGCACAGTACGTAACCTCTTTGTTATGATTCGAACTTACTTTACATGTATTTCTTGATTTGAAAAAGTATTTTTTTTTATTAACATGCACGCCTGCTGCCTTATTCATAACCCTTCTTTGCGCGCCTACTGCCTTGGGCTTAGTAGCTGATTTTCAGGCTCCCTCTCTGGAATCGGAAAATATTAATGGTCATGTTCCTAAACAATATACGGCTGATTGATCCCAAAGTTTAGATGAAATGAATATAGTTCAAAAAGACTAAAAAACATGATTTTAAAAAACATCGAACTGAATAGTTGAATTTTTCTTTCTAATTAGCTCAAAACAATAACAAACGAAAAATACTATTATCATTGTGAAAAAAAACAGGGGCACTTTGTGCCATATTTTTTTGTATATGAAGCACCCGTCGCTTTTTACACAGTAATACCACACACACAGACATGTTTTATGTCTGTTTATATATATTTTAAAATGTGTTTTTTCCGTTAAGCAGCTATCGCACCCCTACGAACGACAACTCTCAGAAGTCGAAACTTGTGCGAGCTGAGGACTAAAGAGGTCTTACCTTTCAACGTGTGATTCTTAACACAGGTTGGACGATAGCAAGTGAAAATCGAGTGTTCAGCCTGGGGCTTGAACCATCGACTCACACATCGGCCGATTGACTGAGGGAACAAAGCACTCACGTCGAACCGCCCGGTTACCCGAGCAAAAACTAACCAGCAGTTTCAATATAAGAGAGGGGTGAAAAAAACGTTGGTTGAGAGAATACAACGAACTCAATCAGCTGAAGAATGCCTTCAACGGGAATGAGTACAGCGAAGGAGAATTCGAGCGGCCATACGACCGGAAAGAGTGAATGCCAAAGTAATCTCAGCTGGGCTGGTCGAAGGAAAAGCTTTCCTTCCCTATGTTGAAAATGTTACAGTCCGGATTGAGAGAATCAACACACACGAATAGGTACCTAAACGCAAATTCATACCACCACCCAAAACAAATTCACGCGGTAGCAAAAACACTCATTACATGTTCGGGGAGGCTGGCAGACAACGATCACAGACAAGAAGAGTTGAACATCATCGAAACAACTCTACAAATGAATAATTACTCAGAAAGAAGTATAAAAGCGGCAAGAGAGATTTTATCGAGTGGGTATGATATAAAAATCAAAAATGGAACAATTAGTGGACACAACACTCCAAAAGTGGGGCAAACCGCGGACACGTGTTTCTGGCTATTGGCCTCATCAGCGCGGTGCAGCCAGTAAAGGATGGGTTCCGAATTCTTTGAAATTATGTGGAAAAAAACTTGAGGATTGCAATGTTGACTATCATAAGAACATAAAAGCTAATATGTTCGAGGAATAGTTTGAAAACACATTGATCCCAAATTTGAACGCGAATAAAGTAATAGTTCTTGACAACGTTCCTATAATTCGCGACGGCTCATCAAGGTACCGAATTAAAATTCGAGGAATTTGTGTTTTCAATCCCATCGAGTTGATTTGGTAAAAATTGAAATAAAGCATCAGGCGTAAAAATAATTTTCCACAATGCACAATGATTAGTCTCGATCCTTCGTTTGCAGGCATGTTAGACGTACACATTCTTGAACCATCAGTGTATCCTTTCGTAACTGTGTCGTGAGTGTCATACCAAGTTTCGTCCAAATAGAAAATTTGCCGTTGTTCTTGTCTATATTTAGTTATTTGTTATAAGTATTTGTTATGCAATTGCACTATTCTTCTGCTTTCCATAACTGTTTGACGTTTGTTCATTATTTTGAATCTAAATCCTAGTTTCTTAAATCCAATTCTGAAGAGTTTTGTCACAGCAGCTCACGTTATGGCCGGAAGTATTCAATTTCTTCCGTATGATTCACGTGTCTCATTGCTTTTGTAACAGTCAAATACTGTTTTTTTAATCTTTAATGATTTGATCAGATGAACATCTGAAGGTTTTGGTAATTCCGTATCACATCGCGTCTTGCGTCCATAAGGTTTGTTTTTTACAGCTTTCCAACATGGATCATTTTTCAAGAACTATGAATTGACCAGCTACAGCAACATATTATTCGATTGTGTAGAAACAGTGGTTGAGAAGATATCTCTTGATTATTATTTTTGAAATTTCTGTGGGACGGAGACGCTTGCATAAATTCTAATTTAGGGAGTTTTTTTGATTAACTGCTAACCTACGTCTTGTATTATTAGTAAACATGCGGATCTTGTTGAATANATGTAGAAAGTGGAATGATTTCAAATTGAATAAAAAGAGGACGACAGCGTTCCCTATATCCTACGTTTGCCATGATTCTCATGACATCTAAAAATTTTGACTGAGTTTGTGAAATGCCCCCAAATCAGGACTCCATATGAAATAACTGTGTGAAATGATGAATGATAGGCTATCTTCAATGTCATCAAACCTACAGCAGTTCTCAACTGTCTAACGACAAATAAAACACTAGACAGCATACGAGTAGATGCTTCAATATGGCTGGATGAAGTAAGTCTAGCATCAATATGAATACCTGTCTCCTAGAGTAACACTGGTGTTTGAGGATATCACAATATTCTGGGTTTTTTTATCGTTCAGTTTCAGTTTATTTGCTGTGAACCAAGTGGTCGCTAAGTTTTCATTTCTGTCCATCATTTGAGGTAAACTGGTATGTGATTAGCCTGAGCATATGAGGGTTTTGTCGTCGGCCAACAAAACACATTTTGTTGGTGAAATAAAGCTACATGAGTCATTCATATAAATGATGAATAATAACGGACCGAGGATAGAACCCTGAGGAACGACATGACAAATTGGCTTCAAATCTTACTTGATATTGTTGACATCCACGCACTAATATTTATTTTGAAGATAATACCCTACCAGATCAAGAGCAGTGTCTCTTATGCCATTATAACTCAAGTTTTGAATGAGGATGGAGTCGAAAACACTGAAGAAAAGAAGAGGCGATGAACATCAATAAAATCGGAATACCTATCCTTCCAGGTGCAGAAACAAGGTTAAGTAATCAAAATTAGAGAAATCAAGCCACGTCCACTAATATTATTATGAAATCAGAGTCAAAAACTGATGTAGTTAACGAGTTCGGAACGGAAACAACAACTCGAGCACCAACTCGGGCACTGCGACCGGCTTTGATAATATCTACCGCAGTAGCAGACGAAACGTCAGGCATGAAAACCTGCAGAACCCGATCAAAAAATCCGGAAAGTGGCTTTCACAAGATATTAACTCATCATTATACATTTTTCTCATTCTGATTCGAATATATACATATCTTGTATGAAATATAATACAGGTTGAGTGAAAAAGTAACGTTAGCCAAATACCGCCAGTTTAAACAAAGACAATTTATCATCAACTTCTTCCATTCTCTGAAAGTTATCTATATTTTTTCTATGAAGATGAGAAAGTAGAAAGCCAAAAACCCATGAATGTCCTTTATAAATTGGTTGAGGCTTTCGCGGCCGAGATTCATTCGGGCATGAAGTCCTATCGTTTCGCCAGCATGAGTGGCTTCTTCAGAGGTTCATTCATCTTGAGGATTCACCGATGACACCGAGTCATCTTCTTCCATTTCAAATTGGTAGGTAACATAATTATACATCAGCACGATGGAGAAAAACTAATACAATTGTCAAAAACATGACCAGGTTGTTATAAATTCAAAAGCACTTATATGATATGTGAATTTATGAAAAATTGCCAATGGCGCAAAAGCACCATTTTCTTCTGCAGGACATGTCCTCTCATGGAGAATGAGATAAACGGCCAATACTTGATGCGTAAAAAATTGTTGAAGATTGATCACCTGAATTCAGTCGCATTCATGTAGTTTCGATCATATGAGCTTTGAAGCATCAAAACAATTTTCCAAATATGCAGCTTCACTAATTACTTGATTTTCGCAAACTATAATGTAATACTTATATAAATAAATTTGAGAGAAATAGTAAAAGAGCTCGATGGTAAAAGATTCAAGTTCATCAAACTGCAAATTTGTGTTTCTGGCCCAGTGGTCGATATCATCACGATGTAATAAAACGAAACTTGTCGGTGTCTTCGAATAAAAATAGTAATATCTTGACACTCCAGTAATATCTTGATACTTTCAAAAATATAAATTAACTCTTTTCATGCTAACACAATCATTCATCAAAAATGATGGATGTAGCCGTTACTATGTGGTAGGAGATCATCATGAAAAATGAGAAATTCAACTTTCTATGATTTTTCACCACTTCTATCTGTACTATGCAAGCAAGGGTTGGAAACTCAATTATTTGGAATCAGAAGCCGGGCGGTTCGTCGTGGGTGTTCTGTTCACTCAGTCAATCGGCCGATGTGTGAGTCGATGGTTCAAGCCGCAGGCTGAACGCCCGATTTTCACTTTCTATCGTTCAACTCGTGTTAGTAATCACACGTTAAAAGGGCTGTCATTCGTAGGGGTGCGGAAGCTGGTTAACGGAAAAAACATATTTTAAACATATATTTTCAAACATAAGCATTGCAGATGTAATCTGCTGTCACAGGTGAACAATTCAGTTAAGGACCTCTATTATTAC